TTGGTGCAGTCTAGATCACATGACTATGCTCTAGGACAAAAGAGTCTCTCTCCCCTGAGGAAATGCATCTCATAAAACAGAGAATATACCAGAATTGGCAAAGATGCTCAAATGGGAAAGATATAAAGGCTCACTTAACTTCAGAATAAGTTCATTTATTCTACCTCATTCATAAAATGGCAATTATATGCCAGTCCCAATTGCTTTTCTTAGTTCCCATATATCACAATGTACTGATATACTTTTGAGACTGGGGCAAAGGATAAGTAGCTGAATATCAAAGAAAAGGAAATGGGTAGATAGCACTCCCCATCACCTGGTTGCTAACAGCCTCCAGGGAAGAGGAAGGATCGCACTTTCCAATACAGGCATTCAGCCCCAGAATGGCTCTCCCCCTGCCCTTTAAGTCACTCCACCTTTTGGCCACATAGGCAGGATAAAGGGAGGAGGGGGCATGAGAAGAAAGGAAACCTGAAATCTATAAAGGGGCAAGACATCCCCACTCCCTCAGGCACCAACTCTGGACCCCCTCCTCTTAGTAGGGGTCCCTCTCTCTTTCTCCCTCTCTCCCTCCCCTGCCCCTGTTCTATCCTTTAAATAAAACTTGTTTTCTTGTCTCTCTCAGCAATCCAGGGTTATCATCATGACCTCCCATTAAATTGGAAGTTTCTCATAGGCTGGTGCCTTGTATTAACTGATATATTRCCATGTACTCAATAAATATTTATGAATGAACAAATGATAACAGTATAAATATTATATAAGTAAAAGGGTACAAGAAAGGCATATTATTCTAACTTAGCTATTAAAAAAAAAATGCAAGAAAAGAGTGTTCCAGGCAAAGGAAACAGGCACACATAAGGCCTGGGATTAGGGAAACAGTAGCATTCTGAAGTCAGCAGTTGGTACTGGTTGGTATAAAGCAGATTGTTAATCTCCTGCACAGAAGAGACCAAGGTGTGTCTTCAACCCCACTCAACTGTACCAGACTACARGAGAGGGAAATGGAAAGCAAGATGTTTTAGTCAGCTTTTTCACTATTGTGACTACAACACCCAAACAGAACAATTGTAGAGGAGAAAAAGTTTACTTGGAGRCTAATAATTTCAGAGGCCTCAGTCCATAGACAGCAGGCTCCATCCCTCAGGGTTCTAGATGAGGCTGGAAATCATGGCCGAAGGGTGGAGGCAAGTGGCTCACATGATGTTGAGGAAACAGAAAAAGAGATTCTGCAGACCAGATACAAAATATAGATCCCAAAGCCACGCCCCCAATGACCCACCCCCTTTAGCCACACCCTACCAGCCTTCAACTTCCACTCAGTTAATCCCATCAGGGGATTAATTCCCTGATTGAGATAAAGTTTTCATAACTCAATCATTTCTCCCCTAAACCTTCTTGCATTGCCTCACACATGAGCTTTTGAGGGACTCCTCACATCCAAACCATAACACAGGATATGTGAAAGGCCTTCTCAGGTAATTCTGAGCAATATTCCTAAGAAAAAATATTTAATAAGTGTGTGGGGAGGACAGGGAAGAGGAAGAGGAAGGGGGAAATAACAAGAAAAGTAGTGAGGAAGGTTCAGGTCATTCCCCCATTCCCTGGCTTTCACACCTGATTTGCTTCACTATCATACCCATATTCCCACATCCTGCTACAAACTCCCTGCTGATATTGTTATAGTTAAAGCTTCGTCCCAGGGTTTCATAAACTGACTTCCAGACCACTCACGTATAATCGAATCAAGCCTTTATTGAAGCACACTGGTGGCGGCTGACCAGAACATAAAGCTGTTCCCCTGATTAGCCCCAAACAATTGCAAGGGCACTCCTTATAAGCCTGAAAACCGCAAAAAGGATGTTYGGGGGTCTAGCCAATACAAGCAAGCCAGGTTACAGAAGCGGGATGGTGCAGTCAAGCGGAGGGAAGCCTAACCAATCACARCCCAGTCACCCCAGTTACAGAAACAGAGCCCCGTTACCCTAGTTACAGAAATAATACCCCATTAGGTAGTTCCGTGTTCTTAAAGGTTTCTATAGCAAAAGGAAAAGAACATCTTGCTTCAGTCATGACTCTTCTACTTGGCATGGTTGTTTTACAGGATGAAGTCATAAAACAAAATGGAGTCACATTTGCTCCTACTATCACAATATGATGGTTATAGCAATCCTCTTAGCTCAGGGGGACTTCAGTGTTGATCCATTCAGTAACATTCCATCTAATGCAGCACACCCTGACTGGGAGCCTACCACATGAAAGCCAGTGTTATCACTAAGGATGCCCAGATGAATAGTCATCCCCTCCTCTCAAGGATCTCACAATCTAAAGCATCTGCATTCTAATATCTAAGAATATACATTAAACATTTTTAAGAACTAAAGGAATTGCCAGTGGCATCAAAATAAGAAGACTTCTTGAAACACTGGTCTTGTCCTCTATTCCTAACATACTCTCACTTAAAAGTTGTTCCTGCCGAKTTCCAACTTCCTGCACATTGCATATGTAATATTCAAATAACAAATCGCAGATGGATATATTAAATTCATCTATAGGAATCAATGGTTCTTTTTCAGTAGAGACATTTTGCTAATGAGAAGAAGAAATGATGGAGGAAGGAGTAATGGGAGAGAGAATTCCAGGCAACTCTCCTTCCAGAAAACYAATTATTTTCTTCCAGAAGAGGCAGAACCCCACCTATTCCAACTCATTGCAAGCATTATGTGAAAGGTATTGGTGGATATGACAAGCTGCAGCAGGGTCCAGAGGAGAACAAATGCACATGAAAAYGACTGGAACAAAAGTAATCCCTGACCTTGCTGACCCGAGGCTACTGGAGGGAGAAAGATATCAAAAGGAGACGGAAGAAGGTAATGTAAAGTGAGGGTTGACTCTGCGAGACTGGAGCCTTCACTCAGCTGCAGTCCCATCCAGGAACAGAAGCTGCTGACCAGTGCTGGGCTGGACAGTCATTCTTCAATGGCTTYGGGTGGTACTTATATAACCTGGCCCATCCTTACCTGTGTTAGCTTTCTGTCACTGTGATGAAGTACCTGAGATAAACAATTTAACCAGAGGAAAGATTTATTTTGGCTCCTGGTTTCAGAGGCTTCAGTCTAGTTGACCCTGTCACTTTGGGTCCTTTGGTGAGACAAAGCATTATAGCTGGGAACACGATGGAGTTGAGGTGCTTACCTCATGGAGGATGGAAAGCAAAAAGAGAGAGAGATTGAAGAAGGYGACACGTTTCCAGGACATGTTCCCCTATTTCCTCCAACTAGGCCCCACCTCCTTAATTTTCTACCACCTTCCAATAGTGCCACCAACTGAGGGCCAAGTTTTCAATGCACAAGTCTTTGATGGTCATTCCTGATCCAAACTCCCAGCCCGCCTTTACTCTTCAATTCATCTAACTGATTCTCTAACACCTCCTAAGAGCTCTCAGCCTTTCAGCCCYACTCCATTCTACCTCAGACATCTGCATGTGCTGCTTGCTCTCCCACATCCTCCAAGCTGAACTCACGAGTGATCTTCTTCAGGAAGATCTCCCTGTCTCCTCTTTGTCAGTGCTGCCATAGCTTTCCTGGATGAATCAATGGTCATTCAGTGAACTTCATCATATTCTGAGCCTCTGAMGGTCCAGACCCTTCCTTGCTCATTTCTGAATCCCTAGGTCAGTCTGGTGAATGGCAGAGAATAGGTGCTCAGGATTTATTGAACAGAACAGGATGCATCTTATCTGTGTGCTTACCCTCTTAGCTATAGGATGTTGGGAGTAATAAAGAGATTTTATAAGCCAGATGCGATGGTGTCCCCTCTAATCCCAGTAGCTTGGGAGGCTGAGGCAGAAGGATCGTGAGTTCAAAGCCAGCCTCAGCAACTTAGCCAGGTCCTAAGCAACTCAGTGAGACATTGTCTCTAAATAAAATACAAAAACAGGCTGGGGGTGTGGCTTAGTGGATGAGTGATTCAATCCCTGGTAACAACAACAACAAAAAAGAGGTTTTATGATACTCCCAAGACAGACTTGAGAGTCAGAACCCAAAAGAACAGCTTGGGGGAGAAAAGAATTCATCAAAATGGAACTCTGAAAGGTCTTAGGACTGAATCTATGAAAAGTCCATATCTCAAGACTCCATGAAGAATTTTTACAATTCTGCTCTCCATTTGGTGTCCCATTGTGAAGCACRTGGGAGGCACTTGCAAAATAAACAGATTTAACAATTTCTGTGTATCTGATTCAATATGTAGTTATAGATTTAATTTAAAGCTGTCCATTTTGTGATATGGATTCTATTCTCCGCAAATAGGATTCTCGTTGTCATTTTAAAATTCAGAGGTTGTTTGTTATTTGTTTTAAATAACTTTCAAATACCGTTATGAGCTGCTCAAATCAGGTGGCTCAAACTGGATGAGAAATTTGTTCGTTACCAGGATGGTTAACTAAGTAGTGCAAGAAATGTGGTGTGTTTCAGGAATATAAAGGCATTGTGTTAGAGCACATGAATTTCTGCTCTTGGGGCCCAGGATTGGCAGATTTGGACGGAGTCTTGGTGGACACAACGCGCGCCTCCTTCTTTGAGGTTAGTGCTTAGAAGGAAGGGGTGAAGGAAGGAGAGAAAGGAGGTGGAAGGAACGCAAGAAAATCCATTATACTAGATATTGAGAAACTTAGGTTCCAGGCTCAGCTCTGCTGTYCCTTGACCTCTCTGGGCATCCGTTCCCTCAATTTGAAAAATAAAGCAAGTGGCTTAAGTGATTAATGACAGTCCTCTCACCCGGARTTCTAAACTCAGTGCGGTTCCGTGCAGTTAACTAAGGAGAGCCACAAGGGCCGCTCCCGCAGACCCTCGGGTCTTGGGGTCCAGCTCCCGCCCAGGCCCAGGCCTAGGCCCAGGCCAAAGCCGTCTCGGCGCGCGCCTCCGAGAGCGCGGGATCGCGCCGCTCGCGTCCCAGGCCACGTGACGAAGCCGCGGGGCCGCTCCCGGGCCGTCATGGCGGCTGCGCGCCAAGATCCGGGGTCCGGGCCTGATGGGGGCGTCCGCTTCTTCTGCACCGCGGGCCGGGGCCTGGAGCCGTTCCTGATGCAGGAGGTGCGCGCGCGGCTGGCGGCCACGCAGGTGAGTCAGCCTCGCTGTGCGCCAGGAGGGCAGGCGGCCGTACCCGGTCCCGGTCCCCACTCCCCGCCAGCGCAGTCTTAGAAGCGAGCTCRGGTTCCCAGACCCTGGAGTGACCGAGGCTAAGGTCCCTGACGGCGTAACTTGACTGGCCGGTCCTTTAATTACTGCTGGGAGGAACCAGCGGTTGTTTCTTTTCCTAAATACCCAGTCCTCTTCCCGCACCTCCGACCTCTGCCGTGGCTAAAGTTTTTGAAAGAGAGGTGTTGAGCCAAGTTCCTGGATTCTTTCAAAGGAAGTGCTACATAGGACCAAGAACTAGATTGAGACCTGTCAGTATCCTTTCTTCCTCCTCTAAATGCAAACATAATCTTCAGGTTCAGCTATTTGAAATTTGCTTGGTGACAATAATTGGTTTTACCTCTTAGAATTATTGTGAGGATCAAACGATATAGGGTATTTAAAGTACACCTTAAACATTCAACAACAATAGCTGGAAAAATAATATGCTCTTGCAGGCCTCATACTTAGCTGTTTTTAACTTCAATGAAATGAACAAGGTTTTAAACACCTTTTTTTTTTTTTTTTTTTTTTTTTTTGGTCTAGAACAGCTGAGCTGGTTCTTGGAAGGTAAAGATGAAAAGATGTAATTAGAAAAGGCATCTTGATGGGGTATATAGGACATTGTGAATAATGTAGTCTTGGGAAAGGAAAGCTTGCAAACCAAGTAGACCACTTCCCTCAGGGAGCTCCTACAGTGTTGGAGGCCCACAAAAGAGTTTCTGCAGTGGAGGTTTAAAGTGTGGGTGGACAGTCACAAAAATGTCATCAGCCCYATTAGACCACCTGCCATTGGTGGCTTGGGTCACAGAATTTAATAAAGTATTGAATGTAGCTAATCTAAAATAGTCAGTCACTCTGTAATAATAATTGCTGGCATTTTTCAAGCATTTAATGTGTCAGGCACATGCTCTTAGGTCCTTACCCTCAATTTAATTGCTTAATTTTCATGACCCTATGAAGTAAGTGTTCCACGTTTAACAGATGAAGAAAATAAAGCTCTGGTAGATTTAATAATCTGTTCAAGTCTTGTGCCAGAAAATGGCAAAGGTGAGATTCATACCCAAGCTGCCTGTGAAATCAAGCACGAGTTATAATCATATTCAACCCAGGCCAATTATGTAGCCATATGTAATCCTGCACTGGTTTGTTTTATTCTAATGTTAACCAGGAATGCTTGGTATGAAAAATAGAAGGCTTGATCCAATCTAGTTACATAGGCTTATTAGGAAAAGACCCTCACTGCTTAATTGTCTTTTAGAGACAAAAAAAGATGGGGAAGTTAGAAAATTCAATTAAGTATAGGGAAAACTTCTTGACAATGAGAGTAGTTAAATGCCAAGATAATTTCCATATTCTGCTCTTGTATATTTTAGGGACGTGTTAGTCAACTTTGTTGCTGTGGCCAAAATACCTGACACAAAGTAGAAWTTTTTTTATTTTGGCTCACAATTTTCAGAAATTTYAGTCCATGGTCYGCCAGCTCCATTGCTTTGGACCTAAGTTGAGACAGAACATTTTGACTGAAGGGCATGATGGAGGAAAGATACTGAGTTCATGGCAGTGAGAAAACTAGTCCAAAATAGTGGAATGGGGACTTGTATCAGAATCTCTCTAGCTTTGTAACCCATGTGGTAGCTCAATTGCTGTTGTCCCTTAGTATCTGAGAGAGGATGGGTGCCAGGACCACCCCTGCTCAGACACCAAAATCCATGGTTGCCCAAATTCATTATGTAAAATGGTGTAATATTGCATCTAACCTACACATATCCCCCACATGCTTTAAATCATCTCTAGGTTACTTATAACGTCTARTGCAATGCTAGTGCTCTACAAATACTGATCATATTATATTGTTTAGGGTATCATGATGAGAAGGAATTCTATAGATGTATGTTCAAACATAGGCTTTTATTCCAAATATTTTTCATCTGAGATTAGTTGAATTGGCACATAGGAAACCTRCATTACAGAGCTCCAACTGTCATGTGAGAAATTGCCCTGTAACATTGGGTATAGGTTATTTCCATAACACCTTGGCAAACAGCATATATGGGCTTTAGAATCAAAGACATGTATTCATACCTTACATCTTCCTGTAATAGATTTGTATCTTTGCACAAATTACTCAAATTGCTAAGCTTGTTTTCTTGGAGGTGAAAAAAGGTGATAGTACCCGCTTTTTTATTTTTTGTAGTACCTACAGGATTAATTCAGTCATTCAAATGAGGATAGATTGGTAACACAGTGCATGACAAACAGTTAGTGCTCAGTGAATGTTAGGTCCCACAGGAGTTGCACAGGAATACTTAAGACCATTCCTGTAGCGACAAGAGAGTCTGTCAGAAACTTTGGTTTGCTTTAAGAAAAATTAATATTCAAAACCAGGAATTTATAAAACAAATTAACTCAGRAGTGATTGTTTACTTTTAGAAAGTAATCATTCAATTTTAATCAGTGTTTTTCCAATTTTAGTGAACATAAGAATTACCGAAAAAAAAAAATAAAAAATAAAAAAAAAATAAAAATAAAAAAAAAAAAAAAAGAATTACCGAGGGAGCTTGTTGAAAATGCCATATCCCCGGGTGCGCACCTCAAAAGGTTTTCTTTTAGTAGAGCTGCTGATAAGCACAGGTGTTCACATTTGAACATGAAACACTCTCCCTTCCCAGGTGACTCCGCCAACAAACTGCTCAGTGSACAGTAGAAAATTTTCCTGTGTATTCCTTTTAGCTTTGTTTATGGAGAATTTTGTGCAGATATAAAAGTAAATAGAATAGTATAAAGAATTCTACATACTTACCGACCAACTATGAAAAGATCAACCCATGGTGAATTCTGCCCCATTCACACCTCCTGCCACTCTTTATCCCCATGTTATTTTGAATTAAACTCCAGGAATYATTTCATCTGTAAATATTTATTTATCTTTAAATAATAAGGACTCTTTTATAACACTACATAATATAATACAATATAGTATAATGGCTCTAAAAAATGTAAGCCACATTATCATTGTCACAGATAAAAATAATTCCTTATTAAATATCTAGTCAAATGCTCAAATTGTCTCTTAAACATTACTTTTGTTTTTTAAGTTTGTCTATTTGAATCAGGATTCAAATACTTTCCATACCTTGGTCAGTATTCCTCTAAGCAATCTAATCTACAGATTTAACCCCCTCCATCTCTCTCCTTTCTCCCCCTTGCAAACTGTGTCTTAAAGAAGTTGGCTTGCCAGAGCCAGAAAACTTTTTCCTATAAAGGGCCAGATAGTTATAATTGTAGGTTTTATAAATCAGATGTGGCTTCTTTACATATATTCTTCTTTGTTTTATATTTACATCCTTTTAAAAATATAAAAGCCATTCTTAGCCTTTAGGCCTAGTTTTCTGACATGGCTGTGCTGTCCAATAAGGTTGCCACTAACCAAATTTAAATAAAAAATAAATGACTACTTAAATTAAAAATAAAGTTGGATAAGTAAGAATTCACTATTTCAGCTGCATTAATGACACTTTAGGTGCTTAGAAACCACACTGTTGGTGGCTACTATATTGGATAGCAGGAGTTATATAGTATTTCCATTGCTGCAGAAAGCTATTGGACAGCACTGATAGTTTCCCTGGTCTAGATTTTGCAATCCCATTTCCATGGTGTTGTTTAGCATGTTCCTCTCTTTGTCCTTTTTGTATTGCTCTAATAGAATACTGCAGACTGAGTATTTTATAAAGAAAAGACTCTTTACAGTCCTGGAAGACTATATTACCTCCCTGTAATATCATATGATTTTACCTAGAGCTAAACATTTAATCTTTGGATTAGACTTGAATCCATGAATTTTAAAAAGAAAAAATGCTGATTAATAATATTCTAGCAGATAATAGAGCTGTTATTTAATCTTCAGAAATGTTAGGCATAAACCAGTGTTTATACACTTAGATATAGTTTAATTCCAAGGAGAAAAAAAATATATAAATTTTCAAGTAACAAATATTAGGTTGAAATATTCTAAAATTTTACATTTATCTCTACTGTAAGTGAATATGATCAATTCTCAGCAATAAACTGAAGAAAAAGAGAAGTACTGGCTTTAGCAATTGATGAAATTATAAGCATCAAAATTCAGTCTCCCTATTGCTTTAAGATGAAATCCAGTTTTCAAGAATCGTAAACTGTGTGTCCACATATATGATTATTTTATTCTCACAGGGACTATCTCATAATTTAGTAAACTACTTCCGATTATATGCTTATTACTCAAAAACAATGCAGGCTTTATGTTAATTCTTAAAGAGAGTAACATTGCTTTTTTTTTTTTTGGTTCTGAGAATATATTTGGTAATTTAGTGCATCAACATACACTATTCTTGTGATTTAAAACCCTAAATAAACTCTTTCGGTTCTCTTAATCAATACTGAGTCATGTTCTTTTTAGAAGATATTTTCACTGTTTAAAGTGTTTCCTTTAATATTCAAATAAGAAAAGATAACATCTTTGTATAGTTAAGGAACCAAAATGTCCAGATCACTGACTACGAAGGTATGTATAGTCCCTGATATAAGTGTTTGTAATCATTTTCTTGCTTTTAGGACTTAATTCTTAAAACCATACTTTTTCAGTAAAATATTTAGTTCAGTTTCCCCAGAATCTTGGCAAGGTCTGTGAAATTGTCTTGGGAGGACTTTGATATCAGATATATTTTTACACTGGGTAACAAATCTTACTTCAAAAGTTTACTTTTTAAAACTCTCTTTTCAAGGTCTAAGCATTTTGAGGTAAATATTTAGTTTTGGAAAATGTCATCTATGTAATGAGAAAGGAGTTAAATCTTGTTTGGGTTACTTCACTATCCCCCTAAATATTGATTCCTAAACATTCTTCTCATACTTTGTTTTTTTCCCATAATGTCATCATATGTTCCTCCATCTGCTTTGATCAACTACATTGCTGATACCTAAGCTATTTGAGTTTTAGTTGGTACCAACCTAGGGCTTCCTGGGCAGAGAATCCTCTTTCATCAACCTAGTAACTCTAGAAATTGCCATTGCAGATGTTCAATTAGAGCCAAAACAAAACAAATCTTTGGTTTTATGTTCCTATGTCTAGTAGCTCCCTAAACACATAGTATCTTAAGTCTGTTTTGCATTGCTATAACAGAATACCTGACACTGGACAGTATATACATAAAAGAGCTTATTTAGCTCACCATTCTGGTGGATGGAAAGTCCAGCAGCATGGTGCCAGTGTCTGACAAGGGTCACCCCTGTCCAAGTCACAACATTGTAGAGAAGCAGAAAAGGAACCAGCTGCACATAGAAGGAGCAGGTATAGTAAGCAGGAGAGCAGGGAGGGGCCAAGCTTGCTGTTTTATAATGTCCAGCTTGCAAGACACTCCCCACTCAGCAAGAGCAGCATGAATCGCTTCTGAGGCTGTCATGACATCTCCTCTCACTAGGCCTTGAAGATTCCACCACCCTTCAGAATCACCACATTATAGACCAAGCTTTCTGCACATGGACCCTTGAAGAACAGGCTCAAACCCTAGCACGTGGGTACCTTTCTTTTCCTGGTGCCTTAGTTCTCTGAAATAACTTAGAACTCTGTTAGCCCATGGCCACTGCTGAAGGAGAATTCCAACACAGTCTACATCCATCTTAAACTTAAGAGAGCTGGGTCGGCCCTATGAGGTTTAGGGTTCCACTGGTACTGAGCCCCAATTGCTACATCAGGCTCCTACAAGTCAGAGCTCTTTCATTTCCTTTCTTCCCTACTTTTACCACATACCCTGTCTTCAAAGCCTGTTTCTGTTTGAAACAGTGTGTATCTTGCTTCTGTCCATTTTCCAATGTCTCATCATTTCTATCTCAGTTATCTACCTCTCCCTCCAGCATCACATTCTATACTCAGTCCTTTATGTCTCTTCCAAAGTAATTTTTTCTGCCAGCTAATTCAGTGCTGTCACAGTTTTCATCAAAATTCTATATCGGCTGACCATTACCATCCGTGGTACTCAAAATTTCATGACCGTACATCAAGCTGGCCTAGGCCACACCATCTATCCACTCAGCAGTATCAGTCAGCATAATACAGTGAAAGTTGCCAAGCCAACTTACAGTTGACTTCAGCCAGGTTTTCTCTCTGCTTCTGCATCTGCTCCTTGTTCTTTTGTTACTAGCCTTCTTCCCAAATCTTGAAGAATTCTTACCCAGTGCTTTAAGTGACATTGGCCTTCAGTGCTACTTATTGTATAGATAGCTTATCAGTGCTTTATAATATTAAAACTTGTTCTTTTTTTTTCTAGTTCTTGGGTTATACAGTTTACCTTTTAATTTTCATGCCAGTGTTTTAATCAACTTTTTCATCCCTGTGGCCAAAAGATCTGGCAAGAGCAACTTAGAAAATAGAAAGTTTATTTGGGGCTCATGGTTTCAGAAGTCTCAGTCTGTAAATGATCAGGTCCCTAGCTGTGGATCTGAGGTGAAGCAGAAAATTAGGGTGGAAGGGACATGGTAGAGGAAAGCAGTTCAGGACATGGCACTAAGGAAACACAGCTCCACTCACCAGAGACAAAACAGGCAAGCCCCCAGACCTATTCCTCCAGCTACACCCTATCTTCTTATAGTTACTGTCCAGTTAATCCATATCAGTAGTTTAATCTGCTGATTAGATTAAGGCTTTCATAAACCAATCATTTCACCTCTGAAAATGCTTGCATTGTCTCACACATGAGCTTCTGGGGACACCTCATTTTTAAACCACAACAGCCAGTATATATCTATCACATTATTAATGATAATATCTACTATAATATTATTCAGGATTTATGGCATATGCTTCCTGGTGGACCACAGGCAGGTGTTTTATAAATATCCACTTTAACTTTTTCCCCCCACTTTTAAATAGTGTTTAAGGTTTATGTAATTACTAAGTATTTTATGTTCTGTTTTTCTAGTAGTATGTGCATGTGTATGTGTTAAAACGTAACATGAAAGGACTATGATCTTGATCACTGACTGTGTAACCTTATAGATAACTACTTAACATGTTATTTAACCTATTCTAAACCTCAGTTTCTGATTTGTAAATTAAGCATGATAAAATCTACCTTAGAGGGGGGTGTTAGATAAAGGGAAAAAATATGTATTCAGAGTTCTTAGTGTAATGCTTAACAAATAAAAGATGCTTTGGAAATGGACATTTTTAATTATTAGTCTAGAGGCTATGGTCTTAATTAAGTGGGAAAAGGATAGTTCTTACCACATTAATATCTTTCTGTCTCTAGGTTGAATATATTTCAGGAAAGGTGTTTTTCACCACCTCTTCTGATTTGAATATGCTAAAGAAATTAAAATCTGCAGAAAGATTATTTTTGCTGATTAAAAAGCAGTCTCCATTTACTGTTTCTTCTGCACGTAAAGGTACAGTGTATGCCTATTTGCTTTTTATCCACTTAATACATTGAACTCCAAAGTTTTCTATGTAATAATTAATATGTAACAACTTCACATTCATAAGTCATTCATACAAATGGCATCATTAGTTATGTTTTTTTTTTCCTGACATTATCACATAATGATAGTGATATCTATTTTTTTCCTTTTTCCAATCTGTTTTCTGTCTCCTGAGATTTTTATGTCCAAAGTCATATTTTTTTCTTTGGGAATTATGGTCAGGCAACTTCTCTAGATGTAAATTTGGTCATTTGCATTTATTTGCATTTAGAAGCATGTAATAACTCCGAATGTATTATTTTAATAATAAGTTGGTGAAAACTGTCACCTTATAAATTTTAATTGAGTAACAGGACCTTAAATTTATTTCAATAAACTTCTACCCATTTATATTTTATAAATATGCTGTGAAAATAAATTAAGAATCTTGATCAAAGCAGCAAAAAGGGCCAGACACTGCAGGATTAAACACTGCCTTATACTTCATTTTGGTTGCTGATGTGCACAAGAGATCGTGTAATTATATATTCTCTAATAAACTACTTCAAGAAGGATACAAATGACAAGAAATCAAGACTGGGCATGAAAAAATATTTTAAAGCAAATCCCAAGATATTATCTTGTGAGGTTAATATAATTTCATCCCAGTTTGCCACCTACCTTCATCTTTAGGGAAGTGCAGTAATTACTTTTGGGTCATCTTGATGACCCTTATTCATCAAGAAAAGATTAAATTTTACTGAGCATGTTGGCAGTCCTTAAGTTTTGAATGGATCGTGTATATGAAGTTTCGCTTATGAAAACTCATTTTAAGATACATGCTAATGTTGTATAACCCCAAGATTTAGCTGCTCCAATTTCTGAACTCTGTATTTTACAATTTATTCTTTTTTTTAAAACCTTAATTTTTATAGGCAAGATCACCATTATTTAAAAGACTCTAGTCTGTGTATTTATTCATGAGATACATATATTTATTATCATAGGATAAATGAATTTGTTAAAGTAGTACATGGTAATTATATGAGAATTTTAATGCAATATTGATGCTGTGTGTATAAGAATTAACTTAATCTGCATAATATTCTTATGACAAATTATATAAGTTCCATATGAAAGTGAAATTTTATTCATGTAACAATTCAATAAACTTATTTTAAAGAAAGTAATGAGATTTGGGAGTAATGAGTGTATAAATGGTCTTTAAAGGGATATGGGTTAAAGTGAGATTTTATTTATTTAGGAAAAATACTTAATGAAATACAAAAACTTATAAATGATGATCCAGGAAGTTGGTTGGATACCATTTCAATTTGGAAAAATCTTCTTGAACTTGATACAAAAAAGGAAAAACTTTCTCAAAGGGCTTCTAACCCACTAAAAAGAAAAATGGGAGAAAATGAAATTATTGCTAAGAAATTAAAAGTAGAAGAAATGCAAAAGATTGAAACAACTCATAAGGAATGCCAGCTGGAAAAACAAATAGAAGAAAATGCACTCGAGCAAAGAGATTCTTTCACTGGCCAAGAAACACTTCAAGAAGAAGGATGTCAGAATGATGTAGGGAAAGCAGTTGATGCTCATAACCAGGACGACTTGACTTTCCGGGTTTCTTGTCGCTGCAGTGGAACTATCGGAAAAGCCTTTACTGCACAGGTATGCTTACCTCCTGAGGCGGGGTCCCATTTTCTAAAAGAATGAATCCATCACTCCTGAGATTTACAATGAGAGGCAGCCCTCCCATAGGACAGATAAATAAGCCCAGCAGATAATTAGGTTTAATCTTCCTTGACTCAATACCTTCAAGATTGCATTTCCCCTTTTAACTTACCCCTAGGTATCTAAAAGGAGTGGCATGCCATTCCATGTAATGACCTCCTTTTATTTTGTGCCTAAAGGTTTTCTTAAATTCATAGATGTCCTTTGCATTTGGAAACCCTGATGCCATGGTCTTCAGCTTTGTAGGGGTTCTCTTTTATACATTTTTTTCTTATTGGGTGGCCACTTTGCACTAGGTACTATAAGTGGGATTTTCCTTAGGACCTACAACCACAAATACACAGGAGGACTCCACACTTCAGGGAAGAGTGGACACCACAGTTTCCACAGAACCTTATTGGTTGACCCTTACAGAGTTCAGTGATACAAAGGGCATTGGTCTTTAGAATCAAATCGTAAAAGTGGGGTTTAACGATACTGTTCTGGTAATTTGTAAACAGGATGATAATATCTGAAATGGTTAATCTTTCATCTTGCTTTCGTTTCCTACAACTTAGAATGACCGTATTCATCAGATCATGATCTTGTGATTTTGTATACCTAAAATTGCAAGAATAGATGTTCTTCATGTGTAGACATTAATGCCATAGGTATATTGAGGAATAACGGAGATAAAATATAGCCTTATTGCCTTGAATAGAAAATGCTTCAGAGTAACATTTTAATATTGGGATCCTAAATTACCATCAGATAATCTGACTTGATTTTTCTATAACACTTGATTTTGTATAAATTTTTGCTTCTCTTTAAATTTCAGATTTTCATTTTTAATATATTCTTTTCTATAACTTGCTACTTTGCAGGAGATAGGAAGAGTAATTGGAATTGCTCTTATGAAGCAGTTTGGATGGAAAACAGATTTGAGGACTCCAAATTTAGAGGTAATGAATATTCTTTTTAATTTATATACATATAACCTATTCTTATCATACTTTTCAGTTGTTAAAATCCATGTCTGTACGGATTCAATAGTCTAGTTTGTCTTTAACAGTAGAAGAGTGCAAACAGTTTTTCTAGTAGTTTCACTGTGAAAATGCTTTATCCAAATTTAAAAAGAAAAGACAAGGAAGTTGTTTGTTCACAGCTAAAGAATAAAGTACCCATTGTGAGGTTGCAGAGATGCTCTCTACAGTTGCTATAATATATAACAAGTCTCTGATAAGAAATTCTAGCTGTTGTTTATTTTTTTTATTTTTTTTTAAAGAGAGAGTGAGAGAGGAGAGAGAGAGAGAGAATTTTTAATATTTATTTTTTAGTTCTCGGCGGACACAACATCTTTGTTGSTATGTGGTGCTGAGGATCGAACCCGGGCCGCACGCATGCCAGGCGAGCGCGCTACCACTTGAGCCACATCCCCAGGCCCATCTAGCTGTTGTTTAAAGTCAATAGTAACAAGAAGGCCTGCATAAAATTTAATAGTATTGTTACATGGAGTAGCAGAAATTATTCTTCTCTTTGTTTTGAAAACCATCTCATGAATTTGACAGATAGTCATTTTCGTGATTTATTAATTCATAAATTAATTGCTTGTTATATTGCTCTAAATGGAGTAATAACTAGCCAAATCAGAACACTTTATGGGTTTTTTTTTCAGTTTTATAGTTCTATAGTTTTAGTTTTAGTTGATATTTTTCAATTTTTAAAAAATAACACCTGGTATATGTCCATCTTTTCATGAAAAATATTTTGATGCCCCTGAATAAGGTGTCTTATACCCATCCTGCCTTTTCAGTTCTCTTTCCTTCTTCTTCCCACTTTCCTTTTTTGTCTCCCCATCTTACTGTCAGAATTACTGTTTTCTCATAGCTTAGCTTATAAAAATAGCAAATTTAATTTCTACAAGCCTTAATGAAATCAATAATAGCTATAACTATAAAAAACAATCACACAAAACAAAATTCACAACACTAAAATCACATGTAATAAAATTTGTGACTGAAAATTGACAGGATAATCAAATCTTAACAAATTTTGTTTGGCAAGTTGATAGAAAAAATTTTTATAATGGAGAAGCTGTTTTTAATATTTGATATGTAAAAAGAAGATCAATCAAAAATATATCATATCTTTGGTATAAATTATAAATAGAAAAGAATTTTAATAAATAAAATTGCTACAGTGCATGCTGTGTAAAAATTGGAAAGTTGAACTGTGATGTTTCAGTTGATCAAACAATTAAGTTTCTAAAATGAGTCACTTTAGATAATTATTTTTTAGGAAAATGTATCAATATTGGAACAATTCTGACTAAACTGCTTATGTTAAAAATAACTTTGAGGGACTGGAGGGTATAGCTTAGTGATAGAACACTTGTTTGGCATACTGCCCTGAGTTTGGGATGGCAGTACCAGGGATCAAATATTCTTAAGGTTCAAAGTGGCAGTTAAATATTCCTTAAACCTTATCAGACTACAAAAGTGATATTCTAACTTTTTTAATTCATGTGGGTCACTAGTATCTGAAGCATTTACATTTTCTGCATGGCCTAACAAAAGAAAGGAAATAAAAGAGGCAAAAACTCACCTAGAGATAGTAGATAGAAAGGACACTCTTGCTACCATACATTTGGCCTGAAGAAAGTTTTGTATCACMCTGCAGGTATTTGTAGCTCATGATAACCTTGTGTGGGCTCAAGTCTTACTTGAGGTTAGAATTGTGGTATATTTAGGAAGTCTTTTCTAACCCAAAATTCTGAAAAGTCTAATTCCCTTGTGATAAAATAATCTCTGAGGAAAAAGATCTTGAGTTCTTTGTAACATGATTCTCCATATAATGTATGTACAAAATTGACCTCAGAATTTTTCTATGTAATGTTCTTAAAATTTCGTTTTCCTCTTTTAGAAAAAAAAAGATTATGAAACGTTTTTCCAGATATAGCAAATAAGCCTTGGAATTTCATATTAAAATATCTGTTACATAAATTCAAAATAGAAGTTTCATATTGTCAGTAATTTGGTCATGTATTTTCTTGTTCCATATGAACTCCTGTGTTTGCTCTTTCAGATCTTTGTACATCTAAATGACATTTACTTTGTGGTGGGGATTCCTGTGTTCAGGTAACTATTATATTCTAAGCTTCAGGTGTGTCCCTTAAGAGTTTGTGAAATTAAAAACTGTGTGTTTTTTTTAATAATATGAAATAATGATAAAACAGAGGAGGCAAAAGGTAAAGCATTTTGAGTTCTTTGCTTAATCCAGGAAAATGTTTTCGTGGAGCTTAGTGGATGTGACTTGATCTGACCACTTAGAGCTGTGAAAAATTTTGTCATAATCATCCATTGATTACATGATTAATACTGAAAATTACATCTAAGTGATTTTTTCAAACCCATGTTTAAGCTAAAAGTTAGTCTGTTGGCATATTAGAAATATATAGAAAATATAATGTAGTTCTTTAAATTCATATTGAATATTCTCCAGATTTTATTGCCATTATTCTTTTATTGTAACAGGTTATTGCTAGTTTTTAAAATTTTCAGGGGTCTCCCTAGTCATGTAGACTACTAAATAATAATAAATACAAATGATTTGTTTCTTTTAATAAATACCTAATGAATTCTTCCTGTGTAACAGGTACTTTGTCTAGGTGTTCTGGGGAGACCTGGTTGAATAAAACCATTGATTTCCAGTTTCTTGGAAGAATGTAAATATTAATACAAATATTAATAAAACTTCATTTTATATGCATAACTCCTTATATAAGTGACTTAAATACCCTTTTCCTAGGTGATTTTAGGCAGTAGGATGTTTTAAAGATCTGGAAAATCCTGTGAGAATAACGCATTTACCTTAAGCTCTATTTATGCATCTGAAATTTTAAATCAGGATATATTTTTAAATGTTTAAGATTATTAAATTTTATGTTAATATTAAAAACTTTTATTTAAGGGTGAGCTTTAGTATTTGACCAGCGCAATGCTGAGAACATTGTAGATATCTAAGAATGGTGAATGGTTGAGTACCTTGCTATGTGCCAGCCATATGGTAGGCTCTACCAGCATTTCCATGACCAACAAAGATCACATTACATGCTCAGTAAAATTTCTTGGCACCATAAGTCCTGAGAGGTCATCACATGTCAATGCCCTATTCGTTTTTCTTGGACCCCACCTACTCCAATACCTTATAAGTTTTTGCAGATGAAACCTATCCTGCTCTCCTACACCTGAACCATTTCTAGGCTGCCCTACTGCAGTACCTTTTATAACTCCAGGCCCTAATCACTGTAAAATATTTATAAAACTGATTGACTTTCATTTCAATACTTTTGACTATCTTACATTTTAAGATTTCATAACTGACATGAAGGATGGGGAGACTGAAGAAATGATCACATTTGTCAGAATAATATTGATGATCACCAAAACAAAGATAGGAAAGGTTAACAAAACAAGCAAGATATGAAATGTTTTTAATAGAATTTATAATGTAGTTTAAAATTATTTTAATTAATTAATTTATGTGTGTGCATATATAAACATTTTTTATTTTTTATATTTTTGGGTTTTCTTAGTTATACATGATGGTAGAATCCATTTTGATAAAATTATACAAGCATGGTATATATCTTACTCTAATTAGGACCCCATTCTTATGGATGGGCATTTTCATATGTGTACATAGGAAAATTATGTTAGATTTATTCTACTGTCTTTTAATTTAAAAATTTTTTAATTATATACAGAAGTGTTAAATACTCTTATGTAACAAACATATATAGCTTTATATAGCATTTTAAAGACATATTTTATTATTCCAAATTATTTTTATGTTCATAGAAACATTCAAGGAGTCAGGCTTATGGCATTTTAAATATTAATTGGTGATACACTTAAAAATTTACAGATACAAAGTATGTACCTGAAAATTAAGACTCAGATCTTGAGTGAACAGTGATTGTAGATAAGATTTTAATAGATGCTTTGTGATAAGTCATTTTTACTAGCTAGTGAAGGAAGAAATGGTCTTGATGATGTGTTGGCTAAAAAGAACAATTTACTGGGTATGAGCAAAAAAAGTGACATGAAGACATGAAGAGCAGATAGCATTTGACAAAAGAAGGGACAAACTGGTGATCCTGAAAACAGAAAAAAAAAAAAAAGTGAGAAGTGATGAAACAGTATAGAACAGACAGGAAATTTGAAGGTTACATCAAAATGTATATTTTAGTAGTTCCTAAAGACATTGTTCATAATAGAGCCTTACTTTCTTTAAAGAAAAGAACTATTGGGGTATTAGTTAGCCCCATAGGCCATTAACTGTACATATAAACTAGTAGTGATGGCATAATGGATAAGAACTGTGGACTTGAATTCTCCCTTCTCTTCCATTTAACTGCAAGTTTGGGCAGTTTATCATTTTTCTGTTTTTTATAAAATCAGGAAAATAATATTACCTACTTTATACCTTTGTGGTTGGAATTGAATGAGATAAATGAGATACTCCATGTGAAAATGCTTGGTACTATTTCTGGGATAAGGAAGTGTTGAATAAATTTCAACTTTTTTTTCTTTAAGTCAGCAGCTAGTCAGAGGAGAAGCATTTACTAGAGTGAGATTAATTCACCCCGTTAATTTCCTTTGAAACATCAATTGTGTACCAGACACCCAAAGTTCAAGGAATTTGGTCTAGTGGTACAACAGACATATGATAAATGCTTGCCCAACTAAAAAAGGATTTAGCTAAAGGAGGCATGAGGAAAAGAACATGGAGCAGTGTCACTTAAGCAGAGTCCTGAAGGGAATAAGTAAGGGCTCGTTAGTAGACACAAGAAGGAAAAGCTCTTACAGACAAGAAGTAGTGTATTCACAGGCACAGAGATGTAAGGAAGCTTGAGTTATTAGGGGATGATATGTAGTCCCAGTACAGATGGGACTGAGTGTAGTCAAAAATTAGACTGAACAATTAAGGAAAAGGCACAAAGTGTCTTGTAAGCCATGTTAAACAATTTGGATTTCATTCTAAAAGCCATAAGAATTTGAAATGCAAGGGTAATGTGGTCATATTTGTGATTTAAAATAATTACTAAGGAAATTATATTTTAAAATGGAAAAGAGAGAGGATTTAAACTCTGTCCAGGCAATAAATGATAAAGAACTGAACCAAAGCAAAAATTGGGGGTAACAGAAGGACTGAATTCATGGAAAAGTTAAGGAGTCTTGGGAAATCTTATATATTTCTGATTTAGGCAACTAGTGGATGTTAGTGTTAGTCACTGAGATACGAAATATAGCGAAAGGAAACTGTATTCAGTGACAAACATCCAAGTAGATATTTAAAGTTACAGCTCTGAAGTTCAGGTGACAAGTCTAGACTGAAGATATAGATTAGGGTGACCAATATATGGATAGCAAATGGAATAAGAAAAGAGTAACGTTTATACAAGAAAGAGAGGAGAGTGTGTTCACTTTACAGCTGTTGAACATATACTACTTCACCTCCAGGTAAAAATGCCCAAACAGGTATTTGAAGATAAAAATCTGGGGCTCAAATCCAAGCTAGAGATGTAGGTCAGAGTGTATTTGTCGTGATGTGCAAGAGAATAAAAAAGAAATATATCTATGTGGAAAGGGGGGCAAAAACCACATTTACTTTGAACTACATAAAAACCAGCTTCAATCTGATTTAAAACATCAGTCAGACACTATGAAAGTAGAGCATTGTTTTTATTTGCAAGGAGTTTGTGAATACTGTCTTCCCCTGAATAATTTTATTATACTGATTTTAACAGGGACCATTTATTGGAATAATAGCAGATCACTTTCACCTAGCTTTCAGCAAAGTAAAAACACATTCACGTTTATGACATTTTAGTAGAGTTAGCTCCACAAAATAAAAGCCGTGTTGGTAAAAATGTATACATAATTGTCAAAAATTTGAAGGTTCCACATAAATCCCTGCTACTTAGAAGTTGGTAATATAAACTTGTAATACATACACATGAAAACAGTCTTCCAGAAAAGGGAGAGGGAATTTCATCAAAATAGAGGAAAGCTCAGTAGAGTAGAGAGGGGATTGAGGGGGAGGAAGGAGGGTCTGAAAGAGGGAAGAACAGTAGAGTGAAGGTGACTACACTTCTGTTTGCACTACATGGATACCCCACAGTGGATCCCAATATCAGCTATATACCCAAAACACTAATGTTTAAAAAACTATAAATAAATTGCATAAAATTGGCAGAGTAAAGGGAGAGGAGCAGGGGAGGGAGTGGAGGAAGTGGGGAGTGCTGGGGGCTGAATTAGAGCAAATTATATTTCATGCTTTTGTGATTATGTCAAAATATATCCTAATGTTTTATGTAACTAAAAAGAATCAATAAAAAATAAAATAAACATTTAGAGACCAAAAAAAATGGTCTTCCATACTGTGTCATTTTTATTTTTATTTTATTTATTTATTCATGTATTTTTGGTGTCTAAAGTATAAAATGTTTTCTAGCAAGACAGTTGCCTATAGAATTACCAGTAGAACTTACCCTGTAGAAGTGATTAATTGATTGAAATATTTTATAGCCTTTTCACCTGCCAGTTTACATTCTTGATTTCGAATGTATAGATACAGTATTACTTATAATATGAATTAATGTTTCCTGAAAAAAAAACTTTATTAAAAAGCAAAGCTCCCATGGGTTTGCCATGCAGAACTTTCTCATTATAGTGGCATACTACTACACTGTTTTATTTGAAAGGGGTATATCATCTTATTTCTAAGCACATGAGGAGCTTGCAGTTAGTATAAACCAGGACAGGATAATTTAAAATCAAAGAAAGATGAGGAAATAGATCATGGAAGAAATCAATATTTAATAAATTTATATACATGGAATTCTGTTGAAAGTCTTTAAGAAGAGTGGAGAACACTGTGTGTTTGGGTAGTGTTATAGAAGAGCCCTCTTAGTAGTTTCAGAACAAGCCTATCCCAGAACAAACCATCACAAATTCTTGAAATCATAACTACTTTAATTTCCAAGATGTTGTTTGCTTATAACATTAAAAGTTTGAAATAATATTTTTTGACAATATCTTAACATATTAAGAGAATTTCTATCAATTCTGGAAACACCAATAGTAACAATGGTGATTAGTAACAATGATGATACAGAACAGAGACCAGTAAACTCATTTGGGAGATGTCTGCTTCATCCCTTTATTCAGTAAGTTATTTTAGACAGTGGATTGTCATGCTTCATTTCATCTTTTGAGAAAGATGCAAATAAGCAAAAAGCAAATTTACAAAAGGGATTTTTTGGTAGAAAACAGGTTTGAAGGTTAGTATCCATTCAGCCAACTGCACCTACATCAAAAAACAGTGTGTTCCTCTTGACTCCAGAGAGAAAAGAACGGTCTGTTGTACATGGGAAGATAAGGAAATACTAAATGAGAAAGATTTTCCTCATGTGTGATTAAATTTTTATAAATTAAACGTGAGAGTTTAAATTTCAGTTTCCAAAGAATTTAAGTACCACAGTGGCTGGTTAGACAAAGTGTCCATTAGAGAATTATTTTGAATAAGATTAAAATTTTTCTAATTTAGATAATTCTTGAGATATGTTAGATGAATGTGCTAAAGTGGTTCTAGATACAGACAGATTCATCATTTTTATTTATATTCTGTTCTTTAATATATAGTAATATTTGGTATGTAAACAGCTTCTTTTCTTTGTAGAATCCCCTTAGCCAGCAGAACTTACATCAAGACTGCTGGACTTCGATCCACCATCGCGTGGGCAATGGCATCTCTTGCAAAAATTAAGGTAATGAAAATGTTTTTATTTTTGCTATTAGCACAGTCTCTTCCATAGTTAACTTATATAGTCTCTTATTGGTGGACAATAAGAGATTGCTTACTTTCTTTTTCTCATATTTATTTATTCATTTATTTACTTTGTGTTATTGCCATTATACTTTAAAACTACTACAGTGATATGTTTCTGTGTACTTTGGCTATGAAGAAGCTGAGTGAAAAGTTAACCACATTTTATTGTTTCTAATTGTTTGTGTGATAGTCCAAAGGTGTGGTCTGTCTCTACATCTTAAAATTTTTATCTATAACTAAGATCTTGATCAATTTTTGTAAATGTTCTATGAATATAAAAAAATATTTTCTTTTTCTTTCTTTATTTTTAGCTATAGATGGACACAATACCTTTATTTTATTTGTTTATTGTTTTTTGGGGTGCTGATGATCGAGCCCAGTGCCTCACATGTGCTAGGACAGCACTCTACCACTGAGCTGATAATTTTATTTTCTGATTAAGAAATGTTCTCTATGACCTTTACTTACTGTGTTACTATCTTCTCCTTTCTGAAAGAGCTATTTTGAAATCTCATATTATTGTATTTATATTGTTTTTGCATTTTTATTAGTTATTGCATTATTTAGTTTCTATGTGGTTTGGTACATACACATTAATGCTTCATTTAAAAATTGTGCCTTTTTATTGTACATAAAATCCTCTTGATCTTGATGAGTAAGTTTAAACTTAACTTTCACTATTCCTTATTAATATTTTTTACTCCTTTCTTTTTGTGTTTGCCTAAAATTTCTTTCCTACTACTTTATTTTCAAGTTTAAGTATTTTTTTACCAACATACAACTGCTTTGATCTTTTCTATCCCACTCTGATGGTCTGTGTCTTTCAGACTTGACTATATTCTGGGTTTTTTTTTCCATTCAAAACTTCTTAATTCATCTGGTTACTTTTGTTTGTTTGTTTGTTTGTTTGTTTCATTTTGTTTTGTTTACTGGGGATTGAACTAAAGAGGCACTTAACCACTAAGCCACATCCCCAGCCCCTTTTTTATATATATTATATTATTATTTTGTATATTATTTTTGTATGTATCTCAGGGTCTCATCAAGAGTTGCTTAGGGCCTCACTAAGTTGCTGAGGCTGGCTTTGAACCCCAAGATCCTCCTGCCTCATCCTCCCAAGCTGTTGTGAGAATGTGCATATCACCATGTCCAGCTATGTTTACTTTATTTTTATTTATTTATTTATTTTACCTGGTGGTGCTGGGGATCGAACCCAGGGTCTTGTGTATGCGAGGCAAGCACTCTACCAACTGAGCTGTATCTCCAGCCCCCTATGTTTACTTTTCGTGTTTGCTGGTTTGATGAAGTTACCTGCTAATCCATTGTTCTCCCACACTTGGAAATTTTATTTTGCTGCTCTATGAAGTTCCTTTTCCCAGCTCTCTCAGTTAAACACATAGAGCTCTACTGGTACTTTAAAGCAATATATCAACTGGCTTCAGCTGCTAAGACACACTGTTTTTTACTCCCTAAACAGTTGGTAAAAATTATCATTTTTACCAACTTCTCCCTCTCTCCCATGGTGCGGTGAGACATTTAGAGGATTCTTTTCTCTATACTCCTGCCTACAATGAGACCTTTGAAACATTATTACCCCCTTTCTCTACCAACCGCAGCAACTAGATTAAATTAAATTATTTATTGTATATAGGAGCTTCCCTTAATGTTGCCCTTTCTGTTTCAAAATTTCCTAGAACTTAAATATCACAGTCTATGCCTGAGCATTTCAGAGAAGTTCTAACACACAAGGATGTACTGCAGATGTATTGCTCCTTCCTGTTTTTGTTCTCTTTGCCTCTCTCAGTTCCAGGCCTGTTTTCTGGTTTTATTTGTTGCTTGGCTAGTCTTTTCTTGGGTGTTTTCCTCACACATAGTGTTTGAGTAAGATACTGCCTGCATTCCTTTGTCCTCAAGTGTCTCCCTCTCATCCTGGTTCACCCATCTCAGCAGGGCCCAGGGTTGTTGAGTTGTGGTGCTTCCCTCCAAGGTCCATGGGTACTATTTCATTTTCCATAGATGAGCCTACCATGCCACTGTGGTTTTTCTTCCCTTTATAGACAATTTGTTCTTTACACGTAGAAGCTTGTAAGACTTTTCTCTTTAATCTTAGAGTTCAGGAATCTTACCAGAATTTCCTTTTCTATGTGTCTTTTCTATTCAGCCCAGAGTTGCCTTCTAGAGTTTTACTGCCTGGGTTCTAATTCCAGCTCTGGCATTTACTAGCTGTGAAGTTTAAGGCACACTTGACCATTCTGTGCTTCAGTCTCTTATTTGCAAGATGAAAGTGATATATAGGATCTTGTCAAGACTAAATGAATTAGTATTAATAAAAGCAATTAGAACAGTGCCTGACATATAGAAAATGTATAATTCTTCATTACTGCTATGGCAACAATATGAAGTACATAATTATTTATTATCATTTATTATTTCTCCAGCCCAGGTACTCTTTCTGCCATTATTTATTTAATTATTATTGCTTCAGGTATTTAGTGAATTTAACCTTGAACTCTTCTCTTTTTCCTACTTCTGAAATTCCTGTTATGAATATATTAAGCTTCTTGACCATCCTCCAAGTCACTTATCCTTTTTTATATAATTTCCATCTCTTTATATTTTGGCTCTGCTTTTGAAGTTATTCTTGAACATTATAATCCAAGTTATAATAAAAATCACAGAGATATGTTCTACTTTAATTCACTTATTAATATTTTTAGTTTAAAAATCATAATATTTTAGCTTTAGAAGAATATGTGTGTCACATTTCACTCTCGTACTTTCTTTATTCAAATCTTATGTGGTTCCTCTAGCTCTCTTACATTAAGAAGGGAGCCACAGCCCCTTAGATCTCCTATTATTTTTCTTTGTTGACTTACTAGGGCCAAAGTATGTTTGCTAAAGTATTTTCAGTGGTTGAAATCCTGTAAATGGTATCACTGAGCATCTCTTGGTTCAGCAGAAATGGAGTTAGAAGTAGAAGATGTACTTTCAGATTACCATGTTCCCAGAACCCATGCTTTTCTTTATTTGATTTAAATCTTGATCTCAAATTTCATTTAGGGTAAGGAAAGAAGAATGATGACAGTTTATTGTTTTCTAAACTGCTAGTGTTTCCAATAGTTTATATTTAAATATAAATTTATATAACCACCTACAAATTTGGAATGTTACTTTTATCTTAATATAAACATACATGTTTCAGAAAAATCAAAAACAAATGATCAAAAATATAAAAACATAATGCTTGATAAGAATTTTTCCTTACTGTCAGTTTGTCTTGCTTGTACCAAGAGTTAGAAATGTTCCTCCAAATGTCTCTCCTTACCAACAAAGGAGGTCTGAGAAAGCATGTAAGAAGTAAGAGGAAGCACAACTCAATACCAGCCTGATCCAGTGCCCCCTTGGAGCTTGTACCCAGAGCAGTGCCCACTCAGCTCAATCTTGGGTAGGCCAATGCAACTAAATATTTAATTTCAAAATAGGGATGTCAGGTATTTTTCACATTTCTCATAAGTGTTTCTCCTTTTTATATACCTTAACAAGTAAGGAAAATCAAGTTCTATAAGTCTTGGTGGTTATTGTGAGCATCAGAAATACCCTGATTTGGGAGTATTCTGTGTCTACAAATGACATGAGTAGAAAAGATATTAAGGTAAAATAAAGATACTTAAAGCTGTCTTAGGTCAGATTACCTTATTGAACAGAGACCTTGGAGGAGGAAGAACACAATGTCTGGCACATTTTAAGATTACAATTAATTCTCATTAATTTTAAATAAATTGCCATATAAATCATTATTTTGTTAACTTACTCCCCTTCCATATTATATTCTCCTTAGAATTTAGTGCCAGGGAAATGTTTCTCTCTCCTGAAGAATACTTTGCTTCTTTCCATTAGGTACCCTCTGACTCTGACCGATACCTGGCTGTCCACTGAGGACCCTGCTTCCTCTATAGACATATCAAGTGATGGATGTTTTTTCTCCCACATCTGAGTACCACTAGGCCTGAAGGTGGGGTAGGTGTCCTGCTTGCTCCTTATCTCCCCTTTTGGATAATTGATTCCTTCTTTCTGCCCAGAGTCTCTCAGGGCCCTTGAAGCATATGCCTTTAGAGCATCCCAGTCATGTATAAGATCTCACTCATAAACCATATTCCTGTCATAATTTGTGTGTGTGTGTGTGGTACTGAGGATCAAACTCAGAGCCTCCTGCATCTAGGGAAATATCCATTTTGCCACAGAGCTACATCCCCAGATCTGTAATTCTTTATGATCTTCATAGCAAGTCGATAACCTGCCTCTTAGTTTTTTGGTTTCCCTTCCTCTAAGAATCTGCTCTAGGTGGATCTTAGGCCTTATCATATCCATAACAGTATCCCTTCCAGATTTCCCCCAAACTCTTGTTTTTAGCCTGGCATGATGGTATGCATCTATAATCCCAGCTTCTCAAGAGGCTGAGGCAGGAGGATCACTTGAGCCCAGGAATTCAAGGCCAGCCTGTGCAACATAGTAAGACCAGCTATGATTCTGCTTTTAACCACCTTCTCTTTCCTGTTTGCTTCCACTGGTTCCCTAAGGATTTCACCAGGGACCTCCAGTCATTTGACCTACTATTTGTCACTCACCACCTGTCCTCATTCCCTCCTTTATAGCTTATATTCTATGCTCTGTCATTATAGTCATTATATATTATCTTATCCATACTTATAACTCCTCTTTTTTTTTTGTCTTTTTTCTTGTTGTTAGAGCATTATGGTTACACATAGTCGTTGGGTTCATTCTGACAAAATCATACATGCATGAACTTTGATTTACTCCATATTGGTCCCCGTTTCCCCCACTTTCTGTCCCCTCCTCCCTCTATTCTCCTCCCTTGACTCTACTGATCTTTCTTTTGCTCCCCCACACACACTTTTCTACCCCCACACACATTTCTCCTTATTTTGCTCAAGCTTCCACATATGAAAAAAAACATTCGACCCTTGATTTTCTCAGTCAACTTATTTCACTTAGTACAAATTGTGCCACTATAAACATAGATGTGGCTGGATTGCAATAGTAGGCTAATTTTAGTTCTTTTGGATGAATAACAAGAAATTGGATAGCTAAGTTATATGGTGGTTCTATTCCTAGTAACTCTTCCTTCTTATTTAACTTAAATATTAGAATCAGGACAGAACTTCAGCATGTTCTGCTCACCAAATCTACCAGCATATCGTAATCTGTGCCCACACATTCTGCCTTGTTGTCATTACAGGAGTGAACTGTCTGTTTGACTCCAGTACTTGGGTACTGGATTCTGTTTCCTCTTGTGGACTGAGGATGTTTCTCTGCCTCCTTTTATATAAGAAAAAAATGTGCTGCCTCTGCTTCCTTTCTTCCCATTCTCTTGTGTACACCCATTTCCATCAGGCCTCATCACCAGTATGCCACTGAACCTGCTCATCTTCTTTTAACAAGTTACCATTGTCCTTGAAACAGATTTTTTCACTTTGTTTCAGAACCTCCACTCTAGGTTCCCCTCCTACATTCATATACGATGCTTCTCATTATGCAGATCTAGATCTTCATCTTCTAAACATCAGTATTTAGGTCTCCAAGACCTTTTAACTTCCCTGGATGATCCCATCAGTTCCACTGTGTTAAATACCATTTATAAATGTAGTCTGTTTTGTAAAAAGAGCACTCATGTAGTCTGTTCCCAAATTAATATCTGTGACTTGAACCCTTAAATTCTAGATTCATACATCCACTGACTCAGTTGATGTCTATACTTGAAGGTCTGAGAGGTTTCTCAAAATTAACATGTCCAGAGAAGTGTGCTCTTGTCTCCTCCAAATCTTTTCCTCCCCAACTCTTTTCCCGTCTCGGTAACAGGCAGCTATTCTCTACTGCTCAACTGAAAAAGGTTGAGTCATTCCATACTGTTGTCTTTCTTTAATATTCCACATCTGATTCTTCCTTATGGTACTACCTTTTAAAATATATTCAGAATCCAACTGCTTTTAATCCAGGCCACCATCATTTCCTGCCTGGACTCCCTAACTAGTTTGTGGTTAGCACTCTTAGCACTCTATGGTCTGTGGTTGGCAGAGCAGACAGATGATCCCCTTGAAATATTCTGTCTCCTAATATCATGTGACTYCTTTACTCAGACCCTCTACTAGTTGCTCATCCTTAAAAATAGAACTAGAATCCTTACAGTACCTACTAGATCTGACATGATGTGATCTCCAGAGTGGGAGTGATGAGTTGTTCCTCCAAATTCCTATTCTCCTCCTAAGTACAAATAAGATTACTTTCATGGATCCTTGAAACCATGTGTCCATTGACTTCAGCCATTTAAGTGCTAGTGGAAATGATGTGGCACCTTTCGGCACAATTTGTCATGCTTTCCCTCCCTCTGCCATGGTTCTGGCAGTACTCTGAGAGTGACTGCTTTATCAGCCTGGGTTCCAGAGTGAGGAGCAGAGGCCCTGGGTATCCTACTGCAGGTGTGTAATATGAGCTAGATGTTGGTTTAGACTTCTAAGGTTTGGGGGTTGTTGTACCTGCAGCATACCCCATCCAGCTCTCCTGGATGGCATCCCCTGGCTACTTCCCTGATGATATCGCCATCTTTTTCCTCTCTCTCATTTTGCTTTGGCCACAGGGGCCTCCCTCCTAATCTTCAAACATGGCAAACACATTCCTGCTTTAAGGTTTTAACTACCTGAAATGCCTATTAAGAGTATAAAAAGGAATCTTTACTCCTGAAATATGGACTCTCCAGGTTGGAAGAAGACTTGTTTTATGGTAGACCTATTATGGTAGATTTAATAATACCTAATTTGTATTTCTGTTTATAGCCTGGTGCATTTGTTTTAGATCCAATGTGCGGACTTGGAACAATACTTTTGGAAGCTGCTAAAGAATGGCCAGTAAGTTGTAAAGTTTGGTGTAAACTAAGTATTGTATTTACTTTAATCAGCATGTGTGATCTCTTGCCAGTTATTTACAAGTAGATTGTCTGTTTAGGGATTATTTTTAATTATATGAGTACCATTCCCTGTTATTAAAATTGATTCTGAAGAGTTGATTAAATTGTTGTGTTACTTCTTTTCTCTGTGACAGGATTCCAATAATTAATCATGGGGATTAGATTATATTAATCCCCAAAGTGTTTAGACATTTGTAATGGTAAAACATTAATAGATTTTAAAATTTTAATAAAAACTTTTAATTTTTAATTTATATAGTATTCTAATAAAAGAACACTATAAATTTTGTTATAACTTGAATTTTTTTAATTATTGATATAATTTTCACCATTTGAGAAAACACAAGATGTCCTTAACTACTGAAATATCTAACAGTTGTATTTATACTGAAAACATGACTTTCTTTCCCCATAGAGTGCGTACTATATGGGTGCTGATGTCAGCGACTCACAGTTACTTGGCGCATGTGACAATCTGAAAGCTGCAGGCCTTAAGGATAAAATTGAGTTGCTTAAAGTCTCTGTTATAGGTAAGATAATAAAAGCAAGATCATTTTTCTATATATAAAGGCTTAATTTCTGTACCTTATAATATATCTATGGGGCTAAAACTCAGATTACTTCCAGAATTGTAACTTTTTAATTTTTCAAAAGGTTTATGATTGAGAACCAACATTTAAAACATAAGCATTTAAGTAAAAGCATGCCTTTTTAAGTAGTATTTGTTGCATCTCAATTTTTCTTATTTCATAATCTGGGACCAGGTAATATAGGCATTAGACAGCAGTATAATAGTATAATAGTATAATAGTAATAGTAATAATTTTAATTTCTTTCAGATAAACTATATGAACTGTTCTGAATTATTTTTCCTTCTTCCTACTTCACATTAGATAGTACCCCTGATATATACAGGAATAAGTAACTACCTGTCACAGTTTGTGAAACTAGTACTTTCAAGAAGCCAGGAAGGCCTGGGGCAAACCTGGACCCTRGACCATTGGTCACCTGTGAGGTAGAGAAACAATTGCTGCTTCTTTACTGATATGAAATCAGCAGTGACAGACTTGAYTAGGAATCAGATCTGTAGAGTCCTGTCAAAATAACATTTCTCTAATATCCATGATATTCAGATTATTATAAAGTAACCTCATTTCTTATTTCTTCTGTTTCTTTAACACACCTCTCTTTAAAAATGTCATGTTTCATTTCCAGCTAAGGAATTTGAGTTTTCTTGGCACTGGATAGGTATCAAGCCTATAATCAAGAGGAGCAAAATATCGTTTAAAAATTTTTGTTAAAATGGAAAAGTAGGAAAGATGAGTATCAACAGATCAAAACATGAGGATAACTTTTGTGTAAAAGCATAATAAAGCAGCCAAGTTCATTGAGATCTCACAGTTGATTGTGGCCAGTGACTGCATTTTAGACATTCTGCCAATAGTCCAATAGGACTCTGTGCATAAGACACAAGTTTCCAAAGTAAACTGAGAGACCATCAATCAGACTGAAATCAGCTTTCACAGACCCTAATTTCCTTAAAAATGTTTCTGTGACCTTTAAGGAAACTGGAATGATTTCATCAGCTGCTCCAGAGCAGTGGTTTGGAACCTTTATATTTGCCAGAGCACCCTGTAGGCACAAGGAAGGGAGCATAGAGCTGCCTACCAGACCCCCCCCCCCCACCCCTTCACTTTTATCTGTTTTCATTTTGGAGGCATTTCCCATGAAGTGTTACTTTAAGGAAAAAAAAAAAAAAGCAAAGGCACTCCACTGTTTTTAAAACAAAAGGAGTTCTCTGTGGCATCAGGTAACCAAACAAATCCTAGTTTTTGAAAGTATCCCTCTAACTCCCATGGTAAGAATAGACTAGTGGAGCAAGGGTGGAAGCAAAGACTGTTGCAGTAGTCCAGTAAGAAAAGATGGTGGCTTGGGCCGAATTGGAGTACCTGAAGGTGATGGAAAAGAGGTCAAGTATTTATCTTTGAAAGTAGATCAAACAGGATTTGTTGTTGGATTGGGCAATGGAGTGTGAGGGTGAGAATGAGAATAACAACTTTCTGACAAGCATTCAGRGGGTGCAGGGAAGCCCGAAGGAAGAACAAGTTAAGAGTTTTGAACCTTTTCAGTTTTACATGATTATYAGATACCGTGTAGAGAAGATGTCAGGTTAGTAGCCCAGCATGCAAATCTGGAGTTGGAGAGTACAGATAACATTTAAATCCATGAGATCATTTAGGGAGTGAGTATAAACAGTGAAGGGAAAGAACTGCACTCTTGAGCACTCTCAGATGCTTTGAGTGCTAGAACTGAGTATCTAGTAGAGGAATAGCCAATGATGTGAGAGGATCCAGGGAAGAGAGAGGGTAACCAGCTGTGGGACCCACTGCCAGTCAGTGAAGTAAACTGAGGCCAAGGGTTGTTTCTATGGAGCAGCAAGAACATAGGCCTGCCTGGAGTGGGCATGAGAGGTGCRAGAGAAGAACTTAGAGATGGCTAGTTGAATTTCTGTGGTTTTTGTTTTGTTTTGTTTTGTTTTTTCTGTACTGGGGATTGAACCCAGGACCTCAAGCACGCAAGGCAAATCACAGAGCCCCCATGAGGGCTAGTTTAGATCATTCTCAGGAGCACTTTAGTTGGTAAGGAGAGCAGAGAAATGGGGTAGTAACTGAAAGGAAGAATATTGGGAATCAAACAGAGTGTGTTTGTTAGTTTGTTTTCAGTGCTGGGGATCAAACCTATGGCCTTGCACATGCCAGGCAGGTGCTCTACCACTAAGCTACATCCCCAACCTTAAATGAGAATTTTTTTAGAAGATAGAAACCAAAATTAATTTTAGGTACAATGTGTTTGTATGTCAAAAATCAATGATAAAATAAAGAGGAAGAATATAGCATTGCAGAAGAGAAAAAAAATTGCTCATTTACCATCCTCAAGGCGCCTGAGAAGGGAGGTATCCCAGTGCACAAGTGGTGGTACATGCACTCCTAGGACAAGAGAAGGCAGAGAGGAGGACAGTAGAGTTGTGATGGCTCACACCAAACTAGCAGCAGAGGTTAGTGCACCTTTCCAGAAGCCTTTGTTGATGTATCACTATTTTTATTACAGTTTTTAAAACTTTGCAAATTTAGTTTGTTTAAATGCCTTTCTTTGACTATTAMTGAGTTAAATGTTTTTCATGTAATGTCATTCATAGATTTTTCTTTTGTGAATTACTTGTTTTTAGAATGGCTTTCAGGTAGAAAGACTAAAGCGTCTATTTTAAGCTGTTTTATCATCATAGACTTTAATGGTGAATTTCAGTCTGGAGATCTGGAGATCTTACTAAGAGAGCCAGTATTAACTCTTTAATTATCAGCCCTCTGTTTCAGATCTCTATGTTAGAGGTGGATATTCTAACTAAATTATTTTTTCTGTTTGGTTCTGCCTTTAACGGTTCTCATCATAAGTACAATTTAGAATGCTGAGACCCATGAATCCCTTTTTAACACTAACAGATTTCAAGATCTCACACCTGTTGACTGTTGTAACTAAGAACATGTGTGAATTCTGGCTTTATTTTTGTTTCTTTTCTGTGTGGCCTTCTGAGAAATCTGAACCTCTCTGTATTCTTTGTATTTACAAGATGATGATAATAATACCTACTTTCTGAGGCTTTGGTGAGGATTTATACATTAATCCATATGGCATAGTGCCTAATACATATTGTGAATTAAAGACCTCTGTTATGTGTGGTTATGTCGAAGACATGTGGAAATGTACACTAACCTCTGCTGCTAGTTTGTGACCTTTCTCAAAACTACTGTCCTCCCGTCTGCCTTCTCCAGTCCCAGAGCATGTCTCACCACTTGTGCACTGGGATACCTCCCTTCTCATGTGCCTCAAGTATAGCAAATGAGCAATTTTTCTGTTCTCCTGCARCATTATATTCTTCTTTTTTATTTGATCACTGATTTTGACGTACAAACACATTATACCTAAAACACCCATCATTATTTATGTTTCTACACAATCTCATTCTCTCTATTGTGCTTTAATGACTTTATTTTTTTCTACTTTTTAAAGTAATATTCACTTTGTTTTATAACTCTGTACTACTAYAAAAAAAGAAATTGTATGTATTTATTCCTGAGTTTTAATCATCATGGTAGTTAAGAATCAAATGAATATTATGTTATAAGTTATCTTAGGAAATGACAGTTAATCACTGTTTGGGTTTTAATCTATGGATATATGTACATTCTCAATATAAGATGAAATCTGTAACAATCAGATTTGAGCCAGAGAAACACATTTATGATTTAGTTAAAATATGAACAGCATAGGTAAGAGCTGGGCACAGTGGTACATGCCAATAATCCCAGGAGCTCTGAAGGCTGAGGCAGGAGGATTGTGAGTTCAAAACCAGCCTCAGCAAAAGCGAGGTGCTAAGTAACCCAGTGAGACCCTGTCTCTAAATAAAATACAAAATAGGGCTGGGGATGTGGCTCAGTAGTCAAGTGCCCCTGAGTTCAATCCCCCGTACAAAAAAAAAAAAAACAAGATAGGTAGGTAAAAAGGAATGTTTTCAGCATTCCTGATTAAACATTCTACAGGCTGTCACATGTCACATCAGTGGTAGAGTATAAAACAACAAGATTATTGCAACTACTGTACTTTGTTCTCAGGTGGCGTTTATTGCCAGTAGTAGGATGGGCTTTTTCCACCACATCTGTCCATGCACCATGCATGGTTACATTTTCCTTCATGCTAGTGCATTTTCCTGCTGCTCATCCTGCCCACGCTGCCTTGGCCCCTACTCTTTCAGCACAGCATCTCRTGGCCCATGCCGTCTTCTACAAGATTTGTGAAGCTGCCCGACTATCTGATTTGGAGAGTCAGGGAAAGTGGAACCTGATTGTTGGGTTGTCCATGAAGTATATGTAGGAAATAGGGGAAAGAAGCTCACCACCTAGAGAGTGTCCTGGCAGCAAAGGTCTTTTCCTTTGTTGTGCACTATTGTTATTGTGTGTATTGGATGATCATATGGTATCATTTTATTGTTCAGTAGCACTTATGTTTTATAATAAACTTTTTTAGCAGCAATAAATTTTTTAAACATGCATTTTAAATTAAACAGTACTGAGTTTCCATTTCTCAAGAAAGCTAATGATGAACACATAACTTGAGTAAAATGTCTGTTGACATTTACCATCTACTATGAGGGCACAAATGAAAGAAATCTGTGCATGGCAGCATCTAGCATTTACTTCAAAACCTAGCAGTTATTTTAAGGATACTTGGCCAAAGCCAATTATTTATCACATGAAGCTGAAGAAAATGCATTTAAGTATCACTCCATGAAGCATAACTTTTCATTTAGATTAAATGACTATTCTTCTAAATTAATTTTGCTCATATTCAATTCCAAGTTTTCTCATGCGCATAAACAAAATGAAACTATGGCTATTGATATTTTTTTAGCTCCACTAGAAGACCTTTGCAGACAAATATTGCCAGTTTTGTAGCAACATCTTTGGATACTTCCAAACAAAATCAAATTAAGCCAATTCCAGTAGTAGTTCAGCTTTTCTCCCCTAATTCTTGGAAATGTAGATTTTTCCTTGTGAAAAATGAAACATCCTTGTAAATGTTACCATAAATTTAGTTCARCATTGCATGTGTCTCCACGTATGCATTAATTTGGTAGACCAACACAGGAGAAAAATTCATATCTTGCTAAAACCTACGGAGAAAAGTACCTGAAATTTAACATGGTACCATATAACTCATAATTACCTCTGGTTTGCAGCCTTCTGTCAATTGATATAGAAACTTTAAGTTTTTAAAATAATCAGCACTTTATTTTTTAAACATACACAGAGTAATTGACTGCAAGCTATTTGTAATGAAGTTTTGCTTGAATGCAAAACTATACTGCAGTGTAGTGATACACTTTCTCTCTGTCATTAGTTGGGTTTAAAATTTGAAGCCTTTGAAGAACTACTTTGTAAAGCAGTCCTACGGTAGTGCTATAGGCTTTGCTTAAAAGATAAACAAGTTGCCTAATTTTGTTTTCATTTTGTTCAAAATCCATTGGCAATCTGTAATCAAAGATTTCAGCAAATGGACTAACAGAACTGTCACTTTTGAATTTTTTTGTGAATTGCAGTTATTAAAAACAAAGTTGGCAACAGGAAGACATTTAAATCTATCTCTAAAAACACCAAGAAAGACATGAACACATTATTGCAAGCTCAGTAATTTTAGAGATTTAATTCTCAAATTCTGTAAATGTACTTTGGATATATTGTAGGAAGAATCTCTTGATGACTTTCATCATTTTAATTAGACATCTGTGTCTTCTAAAATGGAATGGAATGAAATTGAGAAGGCCTTAATTTTGCAGTATCTAAATTTGGCAAAACAAAAGAATAGTAGAGTCAACTTGAATTTTGTGTTGTGGAAATATTTGTCAAAGGCATTCTGGAAGGACTGTGAACTGGAGGACTGAAATCTTTACATTATCTATATGAAAAAAAATAGAATTGAGAAGAGTCAAGAGTATCTTCCATTTTGCAAAATTTGCTCTGATCTCTAGAGTTACTTTAGCACATGTAAACAAAGTATTTCCTCAGATAAACATATTGTAATTTAAAAGAAGTTTTTAAACATGAAAGTGAAGCTTTGAAGATCACAGGCATTTTATTAAAAAGGCAACTTAAAGTTCCTATTTTTAAAAACACTGTATTCTTCAGAAAAATACCAGTGATGACATGGGATTAGAAACTAATATGTGTACGAAGCTGGTCAGTGTGGGGGTCAGTAATATTTTGCCTATTACTATTTTAAAAGTGCATGGATCCTTATTTTTAGGTTCCCCATATTAAACCAATAGTAAGTATTTCATAAGTATAAACTTTTCTTTCTAGCATCCTCATTCTTGGCAGTGTTCCTGACTGTACTATTGTATGGCAACCAATCCACATGCCACACTATATGGTGCTTATTTAATTATTATAGACTTCTGGATCAAGATGGCAGATTAAAATTTCAGTGAAGGATTTGCATTCTCTTACACTTAATTGAAATGAGAAAAAGAATAATAAACATAAAGGAAAAAATCTATCAGCAGCAACTAAAGAAGGGAAAATGATCTAATGCAGTGAACTTAATTTTATTTTGGCCACAATGGAAATAAGCAAAGTTATAGAGCAATTGCCAATAGAATAGTGTTTATTTATAATGTTCTGAGATCCCTATTTATAAGGTTACTGAAGCAGAATGTGATGCAGAAATATTATACATAACTAAAATGTTATTTTTGAGGAGACATTTTCAATATGAAACAGTTCAGGCAACATTTCAGTAATAGGCTTTTGGCAGGGGGAATTTTTAATAAAATCCAGACATTTAAGAGATGAATCAGCAGAGGAACAGAGATTGAATTAATTTAAATATAGAACTAATTTTAAATAACTATGGGAATTATTGTTATGTGACAGACATCAAAGTAATAAACCTGGACACTGGAAAGAATAACAAACAGCAGAAAGTATAGGAAGGAAACTAGGAAGAAGAATGTAATCAATTCTATAAAAGCCCTCAAACAACCTAGTCTTTGTTAAGTATATACATAAAAAAGATACCTGGAAGGCCCATAAAACCTTCTGAAAGAAAATACCTGGGTGCCCTAATGAGTTTGAGGCAATTTTTACCCACTTTTTTCTCAGAAAAGGGAAAAATGGGGCAGTTCTTTTATTCAAAGCAACTAGTATTTTAAAACTATTTTTTTCATGTTTTTCAATCATCCTGAAGAGATATTTAAAAAAAATGATTTTTGCTTGTTTTGAGCTATTTCTATTTTAGTCTTTTCTCTTTAGTTACAGGCATACTCATAGGCAGTTTAAAATATTTAATAATTAAAAAGCCTTTACTATGTATTTAGTCCTACAGGTTAGGTGCTCACAGTTTTAGAAGTTTTTTGAACTCTTTGAAGGATTCTGGCCCACTGGGCTCCACCTGACTGTCATCTCCTATAGACATCAGAGAGGACACTGTAAATAATAATTTAAAAATAGCTAGTATTCATGGAGTGCTCACCATGTGCCAGGCACTGTTCTAAATGTTTTCCCCCATTTATTAACTTCTAAGGTAGGCACTGCCATTCCATTTTACAATGAGGAAACTGAAGCAGTAGCCTCCCAGAGTCCTATAGGTAACTAGTCACAGAGCCAAACACAGCAGGCTGTCAGCCTGCACTGCACACCACAGCAACGGAAGTTCAGATTATTTCGTCCTTGGTTGGAAGATGTCACTGCTTAATTCTGGAACTTTTTAAAAAATTAGTCTTGTCTACCTATGTGAATTTTATTCCTTCTAAAGTTATTTATAAAGCAGTTTAGCAAAATTATATAATATAGAAAAAATGGAGAACAACCAGAACTAAAAAAAAAAAAAAGAAGAAGAAGAAGAAGAAGATTACCAAACCTGGACAAACTGGGCAACTAATAAACTAATTTACGGGTAGGTGCTGTGTGTGTATCAGGAGAAAGACTTCTAATTAAGCAAAGTTGAGTATATCTTGTAGTTCCTTATATGTAAAACATTTGATCACTGTGATTTCCTTCGTTATTTATTGTCTTTAGTCATTTTGCAAAAAGTATAGAAAGGCTGAAATGGATGTGTTCAGTATCAGCACCCTAAAACACAGCACATGAAGTGAAACATACCTTGGGTGGGCTTTGGCTTATGATAGAATGCTTACCTGGGATTTAATTTCCTGCCTAGTTTTAAAAGATACTACTGCCTTTTTTCTAACACTCTGCTTTTCTGCTGCTCTCTCACAAGGTTTAGGATTAGGAGACAGCCAGCAAGTGGTCATTAGACTTTGCCAGATAAGAGGAATTTTTGTTTTGTTTTTAAATTTCCTGCCAACCAAAATTTATATGATATTTAACAAAGATTATTTAAACTTTATTGCATTTCTATAGGATTAGGTTGCATTTTTGCATTGAAATTTGAGAACCCTTCTACCTTATGCATACTTGATTGACTTGATGGATGGGAAAGGGGAAGACACACAGGAAACCTGGGTGCGAAGGTTGGGTATATTGCCTTATAGAAATGTAATGCTGAGAAGAAAATGTTAAGAGGAGCAGGAAATTTCAATTTAATGATCAGATACCGTATTTAGTTTTGTTTAGCGACGATATTCATGGTGTTGGTTTTTGATCTTATAGCTTTTTCTCTAATCTTAGGGCTTTTCTAGATATTTTTAACTTTTTAAGTTCCCCCTGAAAAATATAATGATAGTTGTGGATTCTCTCTTAGAAACTGAAACCTATCTTACAAAAATTTATATACAATAATGAAAGGGAAATAGAATATAATGTTGTAAAAACATTTTCTAAACAACATATTTCTTCCTGAATCCCACAACTCTCTATGCATGTAATATGTCTAGAAAATTGAGTTTTTCTGGTTAATTTAAAATTCCACTAAACTTACATCATTTTATAACATTTGAAAGCCCACTTTTTCAAAGGACAAAATACAGTAAATAACTATTAATCTTTAGATATTTGCAAAGCATTTTAAGATCATGTGGTTACCTCGAAGCAATATTACCAACCCTAAATTTTATTCATCATGCAAAACTAATTGTGTACTTCAGTTTTCTCATTATCTACGTTACAATATTTGACCTTACTAAATAGGATTCTCTGATTTCTGTATTTCAGAATTGCCACTGCCTTCAGACAGTGTCGATATTATTATTTCTGACATTCCATTTGGAAAAAAGTTTAAATTAGGAAAAGACATCAAAAGCATTCTACAGGAAATGGAAAGGTGAGTCGTTGAATTTATTTTCATAATTTTTTAGCTTCTGGGCATTAAACCAAAATATATCATTGCTCTTAACATCTGATTGCATTATTTTTCCCAGATTTTTATGGTTTAATTTCTTAAGATTTCAAGTCAGAAGTTTATAATTGAAATAAATGTTATTCCATATCATCTTGTATTGTAAATTTTATTCAGAAAAAAAATTTTTTCTATTTCATTCACTGGGCTACATAATTTACATATAYGTTTCTAATCCTCACAAAAACCAACACTGTACAGATAAGAAACTGAATCCCAGAAAGTTGAACTTCCTCATGATCACATTGATGCTAAAACAACTGAAAGGAATCCTGTCACAAGAAACAGTGAACAAGGCCAGCATTGGCTGTGAAATGAAAGTGCAGCACAGGACATTGTTCATCTCAGGGCTTCTAATTTGACATCAGGGAATATAATTTAATAGAGGGGTTCAAACAGTGAGACCTAGATATGTATTTTTCTCATTATTTAAGTTGGTAAAGGCGTGAACCTAGAATGCTACAGGAATGAATAGACACCAAAAAAGATCAATTCATGTTAAGTTGTTTCATATGGGCTTTTATTTGATATACTAGGATAACATAAATGTCATAAGTTGGGCTGGGGATGTGGCTCAAGCGGTAGCGCGCTCGCCTGGCATGCGTGCAGTCCAGGTTCAATCCTCAGCACCACATACCAACAAAGATGTTGTGTCTGCCAATAACTAAAAATATATATATATATATTAAAAATTCTCTCTCTCTCTCTCTCTCTCTCTCTCTCTCTCCTCTCTCTCTTTAAAAAAATAAATAAATAAATGTCATAAGTCTACCATGTGAATAATGTGTCACATATTCTTTAAAAATGAACACATATTAGAGAAACTTCAGTGTCAAGGATGACAGTACACAAAATTAAAGCTTGACTCAAAGTCTAAGCCCAAGTCAATCTCACTGTGTCTTGTAAGTTGGGTGCTTCACACTTCTTTTTGAATTGTCTTATTTCTAAGCAACTTCCCCTCCTGCCCAGTTACCTAACTTTTAGGGACCTTTCTTTCTGAGCACCAACTCTTAATTCAAACATCTCCTGAAACCCATATACTCCCTGATTCCTAGTATAACATTCCCCTACAGTTTCACATTGCATATTTTACATTTTAAAATTTTGCATTTTAAAATCATTGCAGAACTTTTTTTTTAATATTTATGCCCCACTTTCCCAGCTACCCTCTACCTAATTTAACTGATCTGAAGTAGGACCTGGATGTCAGTACTTCTTTCTTTCTTTTTTTATTTATATATGACAGTGGAATGCATTACAATTTTTATTACACATATAGAGCACAATTTTTCATATCTCTGGTTGTATACATAGTATATTCACACCAATTTGTGTCTTCATACCTGTACTTTGGATAATAATGATCATCACATTCCACCATCATTAATTACCCTATGACCCTCCAACCCCTCTGCCCTATCTAGAGTTTATCTATTCCTCCCATGCTCCCTCTCCCTACCCCACTATGAATCAGCCTCCTTATATTAAAGAAAACATTCTGCATTTGGTTTTTTGGGATTAGCTAACTTCACTTAGCATTATCTTCTCTAACTCCATTGGATGTGAGTACTTCTTAAAAACTCCTAGTATAATTGTTGTGCAAGCAGGATTAATAACTAAACCTTTGAGCCTAATAAGGTAATTCACCATTTATATCATTAACCGATTCACAGTGAGATATTAATATGTGATCAGTGACATGCATTTAACCTGGACCTTTTCAGAACGAAGATGACTGACTCAACCTAACTCAAAATCTAGTGCTGCCTATTTTACGTATCTGCACAAGTCAGGAGTGAACGGGTAGGAATTTGAATAGACAGTCCTTTCAGCACTAGTAAATTATACCAGCCTGATATTATCTAGGCTGGTTTTTTATTTTATTCCAAGTAATTGAAAGTGAAATAATGATAGATTTGACTACCCTTTTACCATGGCAGTAAATTTAAGTATTTACCTGAGAATCCAAAAGATGAATAGTCAAATTTCCTGCATAATTAGAGCACCTCCRTAGGACCAGTTCAAAGTGTGTGCATTTGAATATAAGGGACTTTTTCATCTCCTGTACCCAGGCTTCCTTGCCACCTGCCCCAACCTCTGTGATCTGACTTTCAACTTCTTGTGGTTTGAGGTTTGATACAGAAAAGACAGGATGCTAGGGTTAAGAGAACAGGCTTTGGAGCCAGGCTGCCTGGGTTCTAGTCTTGGCTCTAACTCCTCATAGTTCTTCAGTCATAGGCATACTGCCTGACTTCACACCTTGTGCATAATCTTTAAATCTTAACACCTACCTTGCAGCCTTGTTCAGAGGATTCAGTAGATTTAAAGCTTTTAGAACAATGCTGGGCATCTAGAAAATGCTCAGTATCCGTTAGCTCTTGCCTGATTTTTTTAGTGTAAACTACTTCAGATCTTTTGGGAAGGAAGTGGTGATACATATAAAAATTTAAGTACACATAACCTCTCCCAGTGATTTACTGATGATTTAAGGCCTTATATAGGAATTGAAAGAGATAGGGAGTTTTAGTAATAAAAAGAAGAAAAAATTACAAGAGGTCAGTAAACCTGTTCATAATAAGCAGTGGAAATAGCTGATCCTATATGTAGTATCATGCATGCATCAGAATTAAAGTTTTTCAGACAAATGATTACTCTATTGACTTGAATTAGGCACTCTCAGCTCAATTATTTCCTCTTTTAATTCATTTAAATATTATCCATTTCATGAATACAGAGCATTTTGAGGAATTTAAGGAAGTTTAATATGGGTTTTCTTTCTAAATATAGCCATGTAAAATATATGAGCAAAATTAGAAATTCAGCTTGCTCAGCTTGAAGGTGGAGGCAGTCCTGTGTGACAAAAAGACATGAGATGATCAGGGAAGAAGCAAAATTTCAGTGAATTTAGAAGTTGAGAGAGAATAAAAAGAGACCACAGATGTTTAGAGAATGTTTGAGTGAATACTGAAGGAAAGGTGTTTTCAAGGACTGTGAGTAGAGCAGACCGCCTGGAGCAGAGGACTTAGTACGTGGGTAAGACCTACTATATTTCATGGTCAAATAATTTAGAATTATTCATGTCATCTACTCTGGTCTTGCAGGTCTCTCTTTTATCTTGTTTGATACAGAGTGTTCCCAACTTATGAACCACAAAATTTCTTTTCAAGAAATAATATCATTATCATCATCAAATACCCCATATGCTAGTGTTCAAAGGGATACAGTTTGGGAAATATTGCTTTGTAATTTTTGAATAGCTTTCTTAGTGAGAAATTATATGTAAATGAAAATATGCCTACAAAATGTTAAATTTCCATGTGAGTTTTACTTTCTTATTGCCTCCATTATTTAAAAAAAAGTTATAGTACATAAGTTGGTGATAGGCATCTTGCCTTGTACTTCGGTATAAATAGATACTTGTTAAGTAGAATCATTGTTAATTTACTGTATCTTGTTTTTTTCCCACTCAGCAGTATGTCATGAATCTCCTTTATGATCAGTTGTATTGTACATTATAATTTCCAATAATTGTCACAGTATTATATGTGTTACCATTATGTACCAATACTTATGGATGTAGGTAATCCTCAATTTTTTTTATTTTAATAAAGAACAATGCCTTGAACATTTTTACAGTTTTTCAAACTTACTATATGATCAAGTTGCTTAAAACCAGTATCTTAGTTTCTTCATGTTTAAAATTACAATGCTAACCAGCCACACATAAAAGGACAAATGAGAGTGTTAAATAATATGTAATACAAAATATTTTAAATGGTGCCTAGTACATGATAAGTGCTCAATAAATATTTGCTATCATCACATTATCAATATTATTCTACTACTGCTGTTATATCTTAGAATAATTTCTTAGAAGTGAAATAGACGGATAAAGGTTATGTACATTTTGTATTTTTGATACATTATTGATAGTTACTGTTCCAAAACATTTCCCTCTTTAAGAGTACTCATTTTCTCATAATCTCAATTGTTTATTTTCATCTTTGTTAATTCAGTGGGTAGAAGGGTTATATCTCATGTATTATTTTAATTGTAATGTATGTGTTTAGAGACATTTGTATGTTTTCTTGCTTGTGTCCCATGGTATACAACTGCATCTGTCTTCATCCCACCTCCTTGTCTCAGGAGAAGTCTCTCTTCTGGCCAGGGTATCCTGCTCATTCCCTCCTTTTCAAGGATAGCACTCTGCCCACTTCTCATTCCTACCTTCAGCTTAATTTTCTCCTCATTTTTTTCCCAGAGAATCGGCCATTTTTCTCAATATACTTTGTGAGTATTTACACAGTTCATCACTGCACGAGGTCCTGAGGATAGATACAGGCATCGACTAGGACAGAACAGGCCCCAGACCGCCCTGTGTGGGAAGATGGATTGTTAATGAGTCAACACACAGGGTCATTCCAGATCATAAGTCAAATAAAATAGGATATTTTGCTGGAGAGTGAGAGAAGAGTAGTAGCTACCAGAGACAGGTAGAAAGTCAGAAAGACTGCTCCATAGAGGTGACATTTGAACTCTGGGACTTTAATGAGAAAGCACACAAGGGATGAGAGTTAAATGCACAGCAAACAGCAGAACCAGCAGTGCCAAGGCGAGCAGCAGCGGCTGGTGAGGTCAAGCAGCTGAAGGAAGGTCACTGCGGAGGCAGGCAGGCAGGCAGCAGCCTAGGTGAGGTCGGTTGTGGAGGGAGCTTGAACTGACTGAAGGGCCGTAGAGCAGCTGGAGAGGTAGCAGGCATTGGCATCTGTCTTCTGTGTGGAAACTGGGAAGGAGAGTGGGAGGGGTACTAAGAATGGAAATAGGGCCTGTCTATCAGGAGATTGTTACTAAGTCCAGACAGAATATGAATATGCAGATGAACATGTGAAACAGTGTGGAGACAGAATTATCTGGGTTTCCTGGTGGATTCGATAAAAGAAAGCTCCCTTCGCGCTTCAGTCTTTCCCTGTGACCCTTGGTCCTCTAGCTTCCTTACCCGTATAACTAAATTTCTCAAACAGTCCACTCTTGATAGCTCTGCTTCCTCACCTCCCATTCTCACTCAACCCCAGCAGACCCATGTCTGTCTGCTCCTGTCCTCATCTAGGCTTGCTGTCCCTTGGTTCTCTGATGACATCTTATAATCCTGGTCCTTATTAGTCCTGTAGCATTTGACACTGTGAGACCATCTCCTTCTTGAAACTACATCTTGGGCTTCCAGGACATCACAGTTGTCCAGATTGTTCTCTTATGATATCTGTTCATTGTGCTCCTCTCCCCTGACCTTCCTTAGACCTCCTATGTCTTCCCTGGTCTTTTTTCTCTCTTACTCTGTTGCCACCCAGATGACCCCCTCTGCCCTATGACTTTGTCTGCCTTTCACTAATGAAAGCTCTTGTCCCTCTACCTCAAGCCTGGTCTTTCTCGGTGCTTCCAAACTGAGTACCCTGCTCTCTGGGAATCTGCACTGTGCGTTCCTCAGGCACTTTCTAAACTGAACTCTGCTCTTCCTACTCTTCCTCCTCTTAACCTCTGTTTTCCCCATAAGGCAGGTGGCTTTCAGTGACCCTCCACCTCACGCCTTCCTGCGTCTCACCTCTTCTGCCTCCAGCCCCCTCCCTAGCTCCAACCTACAACTTCCTGGCTCAGTCCTGCTTGTCCTTCAGCTCACCACACAGACATCTCATCATTGGGGAATTTTCCCCTCTCCTGTGCCCGGATTGGGACCCACCTCGTGTGTTTCCAGGGCCTTTACATGTGCCTTCATGGTGGCCTTTATCACCCCCTGCACTCCTCACGTGCCTCTCCCCCAGTGCTCAGTAAATCTGCACCTTGTCATGGTTCCACCTGAGGCTGCTCAGACTTCAGCAGAGTAAATGAATCCTCCTCAAAGGGCGACGATAGTCACGGTCTGCCCCGCTTTGTCTGAGCTTCCCTTTGCCATCTCTTTGTTCATGTTTTAACTCCTCCCTGGTGACTTTCTTCTGCCATCAGCCTCCTGCCTACTCAAATATGCTGATTCTGTAGACTCTGTCACTCGCCTTTTTCTCTGTACAATCATTTATTAGAATGTGACTACAAATTACTTTGAGGCTTGCCTTTTAAGTAGAGTAAAAATAGATAATTAAAGCAGATTTGTACTAGAGATTCAATAATTACTATAATGAATATGCATTATGGAAGATACTACCTAATTACCAAAAATCCTTGTATTTAAATAGAGAAAATTAAATTTCAAATTAAAAACAACTATTTTAAATAAAGCAGGATTGTTTGTTGTCTAAAAAGAAAGAAGTACTCATCCTAATTACCCCATTCTTTGTCACAGAGTGCTGCATGTTGGTGGAACCATTGTCTTGTTGCTTAATGAAGATCACCACAGGCTCCTTAAAGACTGCAGAGAGGGCAATAGCCCTCTCAGCTCCAAGGGCAGCCACACCCATGAACCTGAAATTAAGAAATGCTTGAATCCTGAAGAAAACACTGGCACATCAGAGATGGTTCCATCTTCACATGAAACCAGTAACAACACATGCTTAAACAAGATGTCACCTTTTGGCTCTTTGGTGCCAGTGGAATACTACAAAGTTAGCTTAGGAAAAACAGAAGCATTCATATGCAAATATAAGAAGTCACACAGTTCTGGACTGCTAGGGAGCCAGGTGGAATCCTGTTTGTCCTGAGAAATTTTTTTTTTTTTTTTTTTTTTGGCACTGGGAATTGTACCCAGGACTGTCCCACCACTGAGCTATATTCTCAGCACTTGCTATTTTTAAATTTTGACACAGGAGACGGGGACTCACTCAGTTACATAGGCTGGCCTCGAACTTTGATCCTCCTGCCTCAGCCTCCTGAGTAGCTGCATACTATCTTAGACCACCACACTTGCTCTGAGATTCTTTATAGCACCCACAGTTTCAAGTAAATATTCCCCTGAAGACAGGAGCTATGGTGAATTGGCACCCTCTCATTAAGAATTTCTGCTTTATGCTCCAAAGCACTCTACAGTTATTGAATATTTTGGGAAAAAAACTCATGTTCTAAGGTCTGTCAATATGAAAATCCTGTTCTGCCATGCACAATTTATGAGCAGAGACTTCTGCTTCCAAATAAATATTTCTAAGGGTTCACATGAATCCTTCAGTCAACACAAGGTTGAGAAATTTTAACTATCAGGTTGTAGAAATGTAGAAACCTTTATGTGTAACTTCTTTTGATATTAAACTTGATTTTTTTGAACCTATAATTTTCTTCTCCATTGGAATGAAAATAATTTTTATTTGTAGTACATTTTATACAGCTCGTGATAAAAAATATCAGTGAAAATAACAACAACATGAATTAAGCCAGTAGCCTCCAACGTGATAGAAAATGAAGTTTACTTTTTTTTTCTGAACAGCATTAATAAATTGCCGCCTTATGTGTCTTGTGTTGATTCTGTGAGAAGAAGAAATAGGAAGTTGATGAAAATATAGCTCTGATTTTTTTTTTTTCAACATCCTGATATAGTGGCTCAACTTTTTGCCTGACTTCATACCATTCAAACAACCTGTGTTTGGGAGATTTCCTACTATGTGAAGCCCCAAAATTTGCTTTCCAACCAGGGCATGGTCTGTCTTCCAGGCCAGTGTCAAGCTACATTACACTTGCAAGCTGTGGCATTTGTGCCTGTGAGCAGCAGAAAAGTAGTCACCAGAACATTCCTGTCCTGAAGCTTGCCTCTCTGGCCTTCCTAGAAGTTCTGAGAGCTACCAGAGCTACCGGCTACCTCAACTACATTCCTTTTTTGTTAAAATTGTGTAGATTTGTCTGTTAGCAACCAGAACCCTAACATAGAGATACTCTGAGGGGTTTCAAGCAACATGCCCCCAGACAGGTGATTCTGTTATTGGTTATCTGGCTTGCTTAGGGTTAAGGATGACTTAAGCTAGTATTATAGAAAGTGTGTGGCATGTGATGATGGTAGAACAATTCATTATTCCTATGCTTATTCCACTGCTATGAGAAGTATCAATAACCTGAGAAACATAAGCAGGATTGAGGGTGAACTATCTACTTTTAACAAAATTTGACAACTAGGAGAAAAAGATCAAGATTCCCGTAGTCCTTATTCCTTGGGTTAATGCAATGGCCTCAGCTATGGGCGACTTTGCCCCAGGGAACATCTGACCATTTTGGCTGCTACATCTTGGAAGAAAGAGGGTTGGAATCTAATGAACTAAGGAAAACCAAGGACACTATTAAACATCCTACAGTGCACAGGACAGTCCCTCACAACAATGAATTAATTGATTCAGAATGTTAGCAGTGATCAAGTTTTGAAACAGTGGCTTTGTTCATGATAGAACATGCCAGGAATCTATGTGTGTGTGTGTGTGTATTTTAGTTCTATGTGTGCTGGGGATTGAATCCAGGGCCTCACAAGTGCTAGGCAAATGCTCTACTACTGAGCTACAACACCAGCCCAAGGAATTTCTTAATGTTTATTCCAGAGAACCTCTATTTCTGGTAGCCATTGGACTGAGCTGAAAAAATGAACTCAAGACTTTGATCCTGTGAGACGCTGAATTATCCGCTGAATTCACAGCCTAGTAGGTCTCTAAGGTGAAAATTGGTACTTGATTAGGAAAGGGGGGACCCTGAGAATTGGGATGGAGAAACAGGTGACTCAAATAACTCATAGCCCAGGGAGCCTCCTGAGCCAGAAGCAGCAGCTCTGCTCCTTTCCTGATGAGGCTCTCCTGGAAGGTGCTCATAGCCTAGATTCTCTTACACAGGGAAACCAGTTTTTTTCGTGTGCTTCATGTCTCRTTGCTTCTAGAACTTAAAGTCAGAGCCCAGGAGGCTTGGGGCCTGTGGAGGAAAAAGGCTTGCATATCAGAATTCCAAACACTTCTAATTGAGAAGGCAAAATCCTAGCTAATATGAGAGGATCCATTATGTCATTCGAGAAAAAGCTGGTTGTAATTTTAGATCAAATTGAATTTGTTGATACAGGGGCACTTAGCAAAGGTCCTGGCCAAGCAGCTGGGAGGGGCTCCAACAGTTTGACAACCAGTCAACCTGGATTCTTTGGTTACCATCATCATCTGGAGCTGAATCCCAGAACTTTGGGATGTATAGAGAAAGAAATTCCAAGAGGTCAACATATTGGATTGGGCTGATGATACTTCCCCACTCTGTGTACCCCAAAGCCCTTCATCACAGCACTAAGGGGGAAAAATGCATTGGGGGAGGAGGGAAGCTCTGTAGTAGATTCTGTGGGCTGGGGATCAGGTAGGACATGGCTACTGCAATGGGCCTCCTGTTTTCTCTGGAGATAGATGGGATACCTCGGTGAGAGTCCAAGAAACAGCATGTAAAGACCAGAGACGAAAGAATTATGGAGACAGTAACACCAAAGTGGTGTCTAAACTAGAGCAGTTTTCATCTGCAAGGTTTGGGGTAAGGGCTAATCAGGTACCATATCCCTAGATGCCACTAAGCTCCAAGTAGATAAAATCTATTAAACTCCTACTTCTTGTGCATAACCCCCACACATACACCCAGAAAAAAAAAGGTCTAGCAAACTGTTGGGAGGGGCTCCAAGTCTGACTTAAGCCACAGTAAAGTCATAGCCCATTACCCAATTCCCAGACCTGAATCTTCATATCCAACAGCCCTTTGAATGAACAGGAAGATAGATACCATTGAGGGAAGAAGCCCTCTTAGCCTTCATCAGAAAAGTACTATAGCTACTTAACAAGATAACAAACAGCTCACTAAGGAAAGGGACGACCTAGACCTTTCAGGTGCTGGCTCACTGCCCCACACCAGCCCTAATCCCTGGAACCCAAGTGCCACTGGGGAGGGCGGTGCTCAGGCAGCAAACGAATTTTTGACCCAGTAAATTCCACCACTCATGCAATAAATACTGCATACTCATTGAGCGCCAACCACTTTTCTAGGCACTTAGGATACATCAGTGAGCCCAACAAAGATCCCTCCCTTCATAAGACCCAAATATTCTAGGAGAAGAGAAAGAAAACAATAGACATTATTTATTTGACAGGTTACAAGGTGATAACAGTGGGACAGGGAAATGAGGTAAAGTGGTGGGGGAGTAAGGAGGATGGAGACAGAAGTATTTTCCAATTTTAAATAGGTCAGGCCTCCTTGAGAATATGAGGAATGTGAGGATTGAGCAAATATTTAAAGGAGATGGAGAGTCAGGCACGGTGGCACAGACTTGTAATCCCAGTGGCTTGGGAGGCTGAGGCAGGAGGATCTCAAGTTCAAAGCCAACCTCAGCAATTTTGCAAGGCCCTAAGCAACGTAGCAAGACTGATCAAAAATAAAAAGGGCTGCAGAGGTGGCTCAGCGGCTAAGCAACCCTGGGTTCACTCCGTGGTACCAAAATAAAGGAGACGGAGGAATGTTCTAGGAAGAAGAAATAGCCAGTGCAAAGATCTGAGGCAGGAGAATGCCTGATGTATTTTAACAAGAGCAAAGAAAAGCAAATGTGACTGAAGGAGAGCTAGTGAGGGAGGAAGGAGATCCGGTGAGTGTGAGAGTGGGTGGCAGGTGGGCATGGTAGGTTAGGATTAGATGAGGCCTGAGGACTACTGTAAAGATGGGCTTTTACTCAAAACCACTAAAGGAGTTTGGAACAGGTAAGAGAATCTAACATCCATTTAGGAATCAACGTAACTCCTGTATTACAATCGATTATAAGAAGGAAAAGGTGGAAACAGAGAAATCGGCTGGGAGGGCTTTTTTTACAGTAATTGAAGCAAGATAAAGTGATACCCGCAGGATGACAGCAGCAGAGGAGGCAAAAGGTGCGTGGATTCTGGATGTATTTTGAAAGTGGAACCAGCAGGATCTGCTGATATGTTTGATGAGGGGGGGTGATAGATGGAGAGGAGACAGAAATGGCTAAGAATTGGGGGCAAGCACCTGGAACAACAGAGTTCCCATCAACTGAGAGCAGAATGGCTCTGGGGCCATTGGGGAGGGGTTTGCAGAGTGGGTGGGGGCTATCAGAAGTTCAGTTTTAGACTTGCTAGTCTAGACAGTCTAATTTTGACTTGTCTAGTCAAGACAGTCTAAACTAGCAAATCCAGTTTAGACTTGCTTGCTAGACAGCTTTAGACTTGCTAATTTTAAAATGCACATTAAACAAAGTGGAGATGTCACGTAGGCAATTGAATATGTGAGTCTGCAGTTTAAGAAGAAAGGTCTGCTCTGGAGACATATATTAGGGAAATGTCAGTATTTAGAAAGCATGAAACTGGAGGGCATCACCAAAGTATTATGTATAGAGGGAATACTCTAGAGGGTTAGAGAAGGAATCTTCAAGGGCAACCAAGATGGAGTAGCCATTGAGCTAGGACAAGAACCCAAACTGTGCCGGCCTGGAAGCTTACAAACAATGGGTATGGAAGAGGGGTGGGCAACATTACAAATGCTGCAGGCCCACCCAGTAAGAAAAGGAGTGGAAATTAACCATTGCATTTACCAATGAGGAGGTCACTGGTGGCTTTGAAAATGAGAGTTTTGTGGAGAGCAGTGAACCAAACCAGATGGCAACAGGCTCAAGAGAACATAGGAGAAGAGCTAGAGGTAGAAAGCATTAGGCAACACTTACCACTGATTTTTTGGAAAAGAAGAGCAAAGAAATGGGAAATGGGAGTAGTAGATTGGTAGGAGAAGTGGAATCAAGAGAATGATTTTTTTTTTTTTAATTGAGGG